GGACGATTATGTCAAGGGGTTAGCCAGGTTCCTGCAGGTCCAGCTTCCACTACGTCGAGATAGATTGCATACATGCGTACAATAGATGTAACTCTGCGAGATATAGGGGGGGAGAGGCCAACAGGTTGCATTATATAATTGCACAGCTTGGCAATTTCGTTCGTTTGCCCCCCTTTTGGGACCACCTGTGCCAGTGAGGCTTCAAGCTAAGCCTGTAAGGAGGCAACGATTTTTCTGATGATCTCGTGGTCAATCATTTCGAACATGTGCTTTTTACACAATATACGGCAACCGCTGCGGTTTACGTAGCGGCGGCCTTGGAGATGCATGAGTGGCTACTTCGTACACAATCAGGGAATCTGGGGCCGAGATGTGCGGGGGGAGGGGGGAGGGGGGAAAATTGCGGAGATGAGATGATCTGTGGTTCGCGGGGAAATATGTAGCCGGCTGGGGTGAGCCCCCTGGTTAGTTTCCTGGGCTCCCTGGCCCGAATTGTGAACAAAAATCTAGGTACTGCTTGCATGGGGCATCGTAAGTTGGAGATTGCATCCAGATAGTTTGGGGAATGAGGGGGTTTCGGTACTTACATGGTGCTGAAATGTTGGCTTGATGTACCTTGTCTCAGGAGACGCCTTCTACTACTTCCAAGGCTCATCGTAAGCGACGCGGGGTGGAGCATATAGCTTCATTCCATGGCTTGGGATCTTGCGAGTGGGGGATGCCCGACTATCCGCCAAGTCTTGGTTGGCTGCATCCATCCGCTGGGACGGGCCGGACACCCATCGGCGAAGGAATGCAGATGGAAGGGGTCTTAATCACGATGATAATACTGTTGGAAAATCGTAAGTAGACTTAAACCAAGGAACTAGAAAACAAAGGCCCGGCTCTAAGCCATCTAATCCGATATGCAAGATAGCCTCATATAATTCATCAAAAGCAATGACGTGCCACTCAACAGGCCAAAAGTCCGTGAACCATGTCATCATCATAACCATCCAACACCACTTCAGAGCTCCTTGATGGAAATCTTGCCATTCAACAAGACGGTATCCTTGAGCTTCCCATCCGCCCCAACTTCCAAAACACCAATCTTCTTACCGTCGCTCCCCACCAGCGTCGCCGCCGCCCCCTCCTTGACCTGGTACAGCCGCACCTCATTGTCCCTCACGTAGTCATACACGGCGCCGACGGCCGTCTCAGCTCCCAGCACGAGAATCGAGTTCTCCCGCACGTACAACGGCAGCGTCCCGAACCCGTGCGTCTCCTTGAACCACCCCGGCCCCTCGCGGTGCTCCCCGGAGAAGAACGACGTCCACTTCCCCTTGGGCAGGTAAAACTCCACCTCGCCCGACTCCTCAAAGATGGGCGCCGCAAGCAGGCTGTCGCCGACCATGAACTGCCGGTCGAGGTACCACGACGTCGGGTCCTCGGGGAACTCGATGCACATGGCCCTCAGCGAGAGCGGCAAACCCCTCTCCACCGCCGTCTGCGCCTGCGCGTAGATATACGGCATCAGCCTCGCCTTGAGCTTCGTCCACGTCGCCAGCGTCTGCGAGCACCCTTCCTCGGACTTATCGTCGTCGTCAATCACCCAGGGCACGCGGTACGAGCTGCTCCCGTGCAGCCGGCTGTGGCTGCACAGCAGACCCATGGCCACCCACCGCTTGTAGATCCACGGCGGCGGGTACCCCTCGAACCCGCCGATGTCGCAGCTCCAGAACGAGAAGCCGCTGAGGCCGAGCCCGAGCCCGCCGCGGACCGACTCGGCCATGGCCTCGGGCGTGGACTCGCAGTCGCCGCCCCACTGGAGCGGGAACCGCTGGGTGCCGGCGCACGCGGCGCGTGCGAAGAGGACGGCCTCGTCGGCGCCGTAGCGCTTCTGCAGCGCCTCGTAGACGACCTTGTTGTAGGAGAAGGCATAGTAGTTGTGCATCTTGACCGGGTCGATCGTCTTGTCGTGCCACTCGACGTCGAGGGTTGGGATGCGCTCGCCGAAATCCGTCTTGATGGCGTCGACGCCCTGGTCGAACAAGGTGTTGAGCTTCTCCTCGTACCACGCGCAGGCGTCCGGGTTGGTGAAGTCCACGAGGCCCATGCCGGCCTGCCACAGGTCCCACTGCCAGACGTCGCCGTTCTTGCGCTTGACGAGGTATCCCTTGTCCGCGGCCTCTTTGAAGGCCTCGCCGTGCTGCGCGATGTAGGGGTTGATCCACACGCAGACCTTTTTGCACAGCCCGGACTCCTTGAGGCGGGCGATTTGCGCCTTCGGGTCCGGGAAGCGCTCCGAGTCAAAGACGAAGTCGGTCCACGTGAAAGCCTTCATCCAGAAGCAGTCATAGTGGAACACGTCGACGGGCGAGCCGCGGGCCTTCATGCCCTCGAGGAAGGTGTTGACCGTCTCCTCGTCGTAGTTCGTCGTAAAGCTCGTCGTCAGCCACAGGCCGAAGCTCCAGCTGGGTACTTTGCCGGCGCGGCCCGTGAGCGTGGTGTAGCGCTTGAGGATGTCTTTCGGGGTGGGCCCGTAGATGAGGTACCACTTGAGCCGCTGGCCCTCGACGACGGTCTGCAGGCGGTTGCAGCGCTCGCTGCCGACCTCGAGCTCCACGCGCCCCGGCGTGTCGATGAACACGCCGTAGCCCTTGGAACTGAGCCAGAAGGAGACGTTCTTGTAGGCCTGCTCGCTGGAGGTGCCGCCGTCGGCGTTCCAGAGGGAGATGGACTGGCCGACTTTGTTGTAGGCGCCGAAGCGCTCGCCGAGGCCGTGGATGGTCTCGCCGACGCCGAGGGTGGTCTGGGTGAACATGTAGTGCTTGAAGTCGCGCATGTCGCCCGTCTGCATCGGGGTGCTTGGCGCGGGGTTGTAGGCGAGGCCGACGCTTCGGCTGCCGAGCGACGTCAGCCGCTTGGCGCCGTCGGTGCTGTGGAACTGTATGTCAAAGTCTGGGTGGATGGTCGCGGATAGCGAGCCCGAGGTCAGGGTCGTCGTGCCCTTGTCGCCCTTTGTGATTTTTGTCTCGGCTTCTGGTGGTCTGCCGTCGGGGAAGAGCTCAAAATGGGGGCCCTTGTTGAGGGCGCCGGCCCAGTGCGTTGCCTCGACTGAGATGACGCCGTCGAATTCGGCCTTGACGTCCTGTTGCTGCGTGTGAGCAAAGGCATTTCATGGTGAGGAGTGAAAGTGAGGGTATGAGTCGTTGACTTACAAGAGTGACTGTGCTCGCATTCAAAGTGTGACCCCGCGTCTTGATCTTTCTCGTCGGGCACAACAAGCTGAGACCCTTTCCACCCTCAATCTCAGTGGTGTAGTAAACTTCCTCTGCGTACTCTGTCGCCGTGCCCTCGGCGGGCAGCCACATGCCATCGCGAAGACGGACCATGATGGTTTCCTTGAAAGGGGGGGTATCTCTCACACACACTGACAAAAAGGACGACGAAACAGAGAGAAGACGGTTGTGATGAATCGAGAGGAACACAATTCAGCCGGGAGAAGCGGCTCAAGACTGAAGTGAATCTCGTCTCTTGTACGACAAAATTTCTTGGAGCACGAGGCGTGCGGAGGATTAATCGGAGGGGTCGTCTTGGAGAGAGGGCTCACACGCAACACGGCAGAGTCCCGCTGTCGGGGAGATATTGGGCGAATCCCATCGTTGCAATCCCGCCGGTACTCCGCAATAGAGCGAGCCTCGGGGACGAGGCCGCTGATTCATGTTTAGCCATTGACGTCCACCGATTGGTCCCGGGGTGCGGCCCGATGGCGCAGGATCCGAAGTGGGCCGGAGAGCGGGATGGTGAGGGCAGTATGTAGCCTGTGGGAGAAGGGGAAGAACGAGTATTGCCGCAGAATGTGGCATAGACTCGTGACTTTGCGGAGATCTGGGGGTGAGTGATCTGATGAATGGATAAGGCAAGGTGACTTGTGCCATTCCACGCTGGGCAGTTAGTGTGGGGTTTACTTGGGGTTTCCTCCCGCTTCCCCCCGGGGCCGTATGTGTTAGTGCTGTTGCCGTTCTTCAACCGGACTGGTCGGATTTGGGCGGTTCTCGGGGTCCGGATCAGCTGGGGCCGTGATGGACTTCATTGGTGGAAACCGGCCGGTTTGGGATCCACTCGCCAAGCACCCGGCTGGCCGTTGCCTTGCGGAGTAAGGTACCTTAGTAGTAAGGTACTTTAGGAGTAAGGAACGTACCTGTCGCTTGTCTCCTTCCCCACATGCCTCCTTCTCCTCCACAAACAAGTGGAACCCCCGGTCGGTTCGGCAGAAGCAACCTCCCGTCTTCCATTGAGTCCAGTCCTGTTGTGTGAGAAAGACACACAGGATTTCTCCAACTTTTCCATCTCCAACGGCTTCCTGGCTTCCCCTCATGCCATCACGGCCAGCTTCATACATACAAACCAGGACACTGCCAATCCCAATTAGCTATTCGACAGCTCATAGCTCTGTTCTGTCGTCAGTCCGCTTCCTCTTGGTCCCAACACCGCCACTCCTGCGAGGCCATGTGCAGCAACTGCCCAGGGTTCTTCCATTCTTCTAAACTTCTGCCCAATGAATGTCGGACAAGACCGCTGCGGGAGCGCAAATTAGCATTACATCGCTCCTCACTTTTGCCTTTCGGGGACGGACTAGGGGTACTCGGTACACCCTTTTTTCTTTCCTTTCTTTCCTTTCTTTGTGCAATACGGATAAAATATGATCGATGCGGAGAAGGCTGCTCTCCCCTCACCGGCCCTTTGCCCCATTGCAATTACGTCTATTTCACTTCGGCTCCTTGGCCGTGGGCATCATGTCACTAATCAGGTTACTCAATGTCGGCTCCAAACGAGCTGCAGTCTGCCTGTAGAGAGAGGGCCCAGGGGCGAGCTGTGAGAAGCTGTATTAATACCCTCTACCAGCTCGCCTTCGTCTCCAGGATCGTGTCCCTTTCTTCCGTTGAGCTCTGGATCTCTAGCCGAACGTCACCCCAGCCAGTGTTCCATTGACTCGGAACCCCGGATCGCGGAACATCATGAAGTTCTCTCTGACTTTCGCCTCGCTGCTGGTCGCGGCCGTCTCCGCCCAGAACGGCACATTCCCCAATGGCACTTCGCCCCTTTACAAGAACCCGAATGCCCCCATTGACGACAGAGTCTCTGACCTGTTGAAGCGCATGACCATCCAGGAGAAGACGGCTCAACTGCTCCAAGCCGACATTCGTGACTACCTCAACCTGACCGATGGCCGCTTCAACCAAAGCGGTCTGACCTGGGCCGCCGAGAACAGAGCCAACTCCATCTGGACCGGTCTCTACTCCAATGTGTCCACCATTTCCTACGGAGCAAAGGTCGCTCAGGACTACCTGGTGAACAACACCACTCTGGGTGAGATCTCTTGCTTGATTCAGTTGGGTCCAAGTAGAACTGTGATGCTGAGACCGACTCTCTAGGCATTCCGGCTTTCATCCAGAGCGAGGGTATCCACGGCTTCCTTGCCCTCAACGCCACCATCTTCAACTCGCCCATTGCCCACGGTTGCTCTTGGAACCCGGAGCTGGTGGAGAAGATGGCCAAGGTCATCGCTGTCGAGTCCAAGGCTCTCGGCGTCAACCAGATCTTCGCCCCCGTAGTTGACTTGGCTCGCGAACTGAGATTCGGCCGTGTCGAGGAGACCTACGGCGAGGATCCTTTCTTGTATGATGTACTCCTAAAAGACATCACCAAATCGTAAGCTAACTCAGACCAGGGTCGGCGAGTACGGCTACCACTACACCAAGGGTCTCCAGGAGAACGGCGTCTGCGCCATGGTCAAGCACTTTGCCGCCTTTGCTTCCCCCGAGCAGGGTGTCAACACGGCTCCCGTCCACGGCGGTCCCAGAGAGCTTCGCACCACCTACCTCCCCGCCTTCAAGCGCGCCATCTTTGATGCCGACGCCTGGAGCATCATGTCTTCGTACAACGCCTATGACGGTGTCCCCACGGTCGCAGACCACCACCTGCTGACTGAGATCTTGCGCGAGGAGTGGGGTTACGAGTACTATGTTATCGTAAGTTGTTGACTTTACACCGGACACTGAATGTTACTAACACTTTCAGTCCGATGCTGGCGGTACCGCTCGTCTTTCCAACGCCTTCTTTGTCTGCGGAGAGACCGATGATGCTTGCATCACCCTCAACGTACGTACCTCTCTTTTGCTCCCTAGTACAACACCCTGCTCACCAGTCTTTCAGTCTCTCCCTGCCGGTAACGATGTCGAGATGGGTGGCGGACGCTACAGCTTCCAGTACATCCCCGAGCTCATCGCCAACGGCACTCTGCCCGAGGACGTCGTCGACACGGCCGTCTCCCGCGTTCTCCGCGCAAAGTTCAAGTCGGGCATCTTTGAACACCCGTACACCGGTGTCCCCGACGACGAGGTCTTCAACTACCTCAACACAGAGGAGCACCGCAAGATCGCCCGCGACCTCGACGCCGAGAGCATTATCCTGCTTGAGAACCACAACGAGACCCTGCCCCTGAAGAAGGACGCTCACGTCGCCGTCATCGGCCCCATGGCCCACGGATTGGTCAACGTAAGCTTTTGTGCAGCTTTATAAGATAAGGCCTTTCCCATGCTAACAATATATCACACAGTACGGCGACTACGTCATCCACACCGCAATGGAACGCGGCGTCACCCCCCTCGACGGCATCAAGGCCGCCAGCTCCGGAACAGTAACCTACGCAAAGGGCGCCGAGCGCTGGTCCAACGACGAGTCCGGCTTCCCCGAGGCCGTCGCCGCTGCCTCGGCCGCCGACGTCGCCGTCGTCGTCGTGGGCACCTGGTCCCGCGACCAGGACGAGCTCTGGGCCGGCCTCAACGCCACCACGGGCGAGCACATTGACGTCCACGACTTCAAGCTCGTCGGCGCCATGGGTCGCCTCGTCAAGGCCGTCATCGACACGGGCAAGCCCACTGTCGTCGTCTTCAGCTCCGGAAAGCCTATTACCGAGCCCTGGATCTCGGACGAGGCTGGCGCGCTGGTGCAGATGTTCTACCAGGGAGAGGAGGGCGGTCACGCGCTGGCGGATATCCTGTACGGAAACGTGAACCCTTCTGGCAAGCTTTCCGTCGCGTTCCCGCATGATGTCGGTACCACGCCTGTGTACTACGATTATCTCAACTCCGCCCGGTCCTGGCCCAACCCGGGTAAGGAGTACGCCAACGGGACCTTGGTCTTTGGCAGCAACTACGTCTTGTCGACTCCTCTGCCCTTGTACGAAGTAAGAACACATCTAACAGCTCCTTTTTTTTCCCCTCTCCTTCTTGACAGTCTTTCTAACCCAAATCCAACCACAGTTCGGCTACGGTCTCTCCTACAGCACCTTCGACTACCACGACATCTCCGTCTCCGCCTCCACCGTCTCCCCCACCGACACCGTCACCCTTAGCGTGCAGGTGACCAACAACTCGACCCGCGACGGCGCAGAGGTCGTCCAGGTCTACGTCAAGGACATGATCTCCTCCATCGTCGTGCCCAACAAGGAGCTGCGCGGCTTCTCCAAGGTCTTCATCAAGGCCGGCGAGACCGCTGATGTCTCGATTGACCTGTCCGTCTCCTCGTGGGGTTTGTGGGATAAGAAGCTGCAGTACGTCGTTGAGCCGGGCGATTTCACCGTCTTTGTCGGGTCTTCGAGCGATGATTTCCGCGGGAATGCGACTGTGACGGTTGTCTAAGGGGCTTGTCTTTTGCAGTTCCCGAGGGCATTTTACGGTCAAGTTTTTTCGACGGCAGTCGATGGCCTAGGCCACCTTTGGCCGCTTTCTATGTACATATTGTGTAATGGTTGATATGAAAAGATGACATATGGGGTTACTCAACGACAAGTTTGACGACCGACTAGCCTCCCACGTCGCCGAACAATAGTGAACTAGAGTACTCGCTCAGAAGACACTTAACAAGGCGCCAAACTATGTGACGAGTAGAGTTAATTCCAAGAAGAGCGTTACTGGTATTACTGCTTAATCCTAGGAACGGTCTGCCCAACTCTCTGCTTTCTAGTCTCGGCGATCCTCCCCGAAGCGTTTAGAAGTAAAATAACGGTAGAGCAGCCTCATCTCACCTGGGTTAGTTCTGTGTCATATTCAAAGGCAATAGCACAATAGGCTAAGGCTGTTGAACGAGCGCAAAAGATTTGTCTTCTTCAAAGTTGATGTCAAAGTTGATGTCTGAAAACTCAATGATCATGGTCTTGAAGTGTATTGCCCTCCTCTCTGCCACATCATCACATCCATTCAAAAGTCGTTCAAACCTTCCATCTGCGAACTCACTCTACGCAACGCCAATCGAACTTTGCAGATTAGGTCTGCTTCTGTCCAGCATAGACATTGAACTGCAAAGGAGGAACTCTGGCAAGACGGAGCAGAAAGTTCCTAGAGCACAAGCCAACCTCTTTGGAGCTACTGAGCCAGATCATATCAACTACTCGTTTTCCCAGATTAAGAAGAGCCGTGGCAGACACGTCACCGAACGGTTTGACTCTGAGCCTGTATCAGCAGCTCTACTCTCTCAGAAGCCCTCGTTCTCATCTCTAGCTTCGGGAGCGGATCTCGTCTCGACTCATCTGCTCTGCTATCTCGACGAGTGTGATGATAGTACCTCACCCAAATGAGGCACGCCACGAACTTCCGCACCTGCCGACGTGTGATCTTGAACACTTCCGTGTCTCTCAAATTACACTTTACAAGACCTTTGGCAATCTTTTCCCATGGGGCAGCACAACATAAAAAGCTATTTTAGAAATAGAAAAAAGGCATGTTTGCCGACTGGTTGCCTGTCTACCAGATCCGGAAATCTCATCGCAAAAAAAACTCCAGCCCCGCCTCTTCATCTGAAGATTTCTCTTCTGTCTTGTGTCTTTGCTAAGAAAAGAAGAAGACGAAGAAGGAAATACCGAAAGGCCCCCTTCAGGCAAGTCTTGCCTGAAATTGCCACACACACACACACACACACACACACACACACACACACACTTCACACTCGCACACTCTCGCACGCACACCTCGAAGGAAAAATGACGGAATGCAACATTCCTCCCACAGGCAAACCTTTCTGTCCTCTACTTGCTTAACAACGTCCATGCGGCCTCTCGACCTCCCGGTTCGAGTTTCTGTTTCGTTTCTCACACACACCCCTCCCCCCTTCCCTCTGGTAAGTAGCCGATGGTCGGTGCAGAACAAGAGGTAGCGGGTCTTCCATCTTGTCAGATGCCCGTCAAATCAGCACATCATCACACCACACCATCACTGCCACGCACCAACCCTCTGTAGCCTCCGATCTCTGTGTCACCAGCCCGAGTCTTCTGCCTGGACGGGGGATGGTTGGCCGGATCTCTGGCTCGAACACCGGATGAAAATCTTCCTTTCGGAGGGCCAGCCATATACCACAGTGACTGAGGTACTATACCGTTGCATCCGGCACGACTTGGTCGTCGTAAGCCGCATGACATTTTGTCTTTTGGTACTACATGAAATGCAACCCCCTTTTTGCTCGAATTGTATTTGTCGTCAACTTTTGCTTCTTTGGAATATTTGTCTTATATTTTGTACAGGTGATATGTCGTTACGAACGGTTTCCGTGCTCATCGGGCGATTATCATACACGTGCCAAGACTTTTTCGTATTTGTAAAAGCAAGTGCCCACCATCCATCCACCCATCTCACCATCGTTTTCTGATACACACACCCTTCAGCCTGCCTGCCTACCTTTTGCCTCGTGACGAGTTGCCCATCTTTTGTTTTCTCATTCTCTGGCGCGCTCGACTCGAAACCTTCGAACCTCGATCCTGGCACAAAGGGAAGCGGGGGCGGGGGGTGTCCTAGGTAGGAGGTCATAGTCATACCGCAGACAGCCCTCAAACCGCCCGAAGGAAACCGAATAACGGATGTAGGATAGATGCACGGTCTTGGTCAGTCATTGGGATTTTCCCATTATTTCCGTCGTTTTTTCCCTCACTTCTTTACTTATTCTCCATTTCTTCTCATAGACAGAAACGTTTCGCTCGCCCCATTTGACGTACCAGTCACATACTTTCATGTGTGTGGGGAGAGAGTTCTGCACGATGCGTATTGTGGCCATGCTTAGAGACAGTTGAATCCTTGGCAAACTCCGGATTCCCGCTTCATCCTTCCAAACAAGCACCCAAAAAGCATCTCACAAGCTTTTCATCTTCCATGAGGTTAACCTCAGAATCGGGCGCTCGTATAAGATTAGATCCCTTTTTCTTAGCAGGAAAAAAAAAAGTGACGCCTGCCAAGCAAAGCCAATCTCACGTTTTCCCCTCCTCTTTTTATCCTTTCTTACATAGCCCTCTGTAAAGTTAGGTATCCCCAGATCGTCGGAAAACCTTCCTAGACTTCTCATCACGAGACTACTGCACACATACCTTCTTTGCATAACGCCTCTCGGAACGTTTTCGTTTTTTCGTTCTTCATAAAGGATCAAAAAGGTTCAAGCCGCGGTGCATTCGGCCGCCGGCGAGTGCCTGCAGTAGTCTGTGCCTCTGCAGGTAATGCAGGTATGCACCTAAGGCAAGCTACAGCGTAAGGCAAGATCTGCAGAGATGCGGTATGCGCACCTCAAGGCAAGAAGCAAAGCGTGCATGAGAAGAGACAACAAGAAACAACGACTCAAAACTTCTGGAACCACAACCACCACCCGTCCATCGTCATCGTGACTTTACCTTGCCTGATAAGCGCTCGCCGCTTTCCTTGTGCGCCGCATACTTCCGCAGTGCGGTCTGCAGCAGCGCAGCGCAGCCAAACCTCAAACCCAATCAACGTTCCCCCCCTTTCCCCCATTCATCCGTCCGCATGTAACCCAACTCTCCGTGCCCCCTCCCCCCCCCTGGCCCTACACTACACCTCCTTCTTTTCGTCTGGAGTTTTGAGCCTCCCCCTCCGCCGCCTCAGATGTCTGTCTGGGGTTCATATTAATAGCTTCACCAGTGACACCATCCCCCCTCTGAACCCCCGCTACCTCGGCCATCCTCGACAACCCTCCCATGTCCAACTCTAGGGTGCCTGCCTGCCTTGCCTTGCCTTGCCTTGCAACATCATCCACAACAGCAGCAACCAACACCCAACAGCAGAAGAAGAATCATCATCCACGATCCCATGGAGTGTGAAGCATGCCCCTTGCAGTAGTCGCGCGGGAAGCCCGGCCCTGCACGCATGCACGCATCACCAAACCCTCACCCTCACAGGAATGCACCACCGCACACAAACACGCCTTTCCGCTTTCCCTCTTCCCTTTCCTCCCCCAGCCCTTGCCTTGCCTTTCAACAATGCAGCAATCCTCCGGCCCGTGTAATAACCTTATACAGAACATGGTTAAAACATAACACCCCAGGTCCCTCCCCCCTCTCTCTGACATCTTTGATATGCAGGGACAGGCGGCGGCAGGTCACGTCCACGGTCTAGAGACACAGAGAAACAAAAAGAAGAAGAGAGACAGAGAAGCGTAAAACAACGTACCTACACGTAAAGCAAGAAAAGGAAAAATGACCACGAAAAAAAAAGGCAAGGCTGGTTTCGTTTCCAAGGTCAGCCGTGTCTAGCAGCCTGACATCCCACACCGCCCATGCAAACATGGTTGCATCACGGGTCACACCTGGCACACGCTAAACTTCGGCAACCCTTTCTCAACGTCGCCTTTCGTCTCTTGGTCTCTTGGTACTTCTCTTGATCTTGCCCAGTCTTTTTTTTTTCTCGTTTCCGCTATCTGCTTCTATTGTGAAGCTGCTTGGCATCTTGTCTTTTCTTTCCCGTTTCTCTCTCGCTCTCTATCTCTCGATCCCTCCTCCTCCTCCTCCTTATCGATGCGCGCTGTTACCAGTACTACTTTATTTCAGACGCCAATAAGTCTGGGTAAGAAAGTCTAATCGAGCTCTTGTTCGGCTACTTAATCCCTTTCGTCTGTCTCTTCCGTCTTCATCTGTCATCTCCAAGCCTGCAAAGGCCCAATATCTACACGGGCCGTAGATCGTCTCTCGTGGTATGATCGGAGACGGGCTTTGATGGGTCCGTAAGCCATGGTGTGACCGCTTAGAAATCCATGGCTGGAGGAAACGCTCGAATTAGATAGGCACAGGGGACAGCGTTCGGACTGACAATGTTATAAAGATGTTGTGATATTTGATGCAGTCTAGTAATGTAATGCCCGACCCTTTCGGGCAACCCTATCGTACAAGTGCCCTCCACGTCTTTTCTCATAAGACTCGTGATATGTTGTATGCCCATAATTTATCATTAGTTTTAACACCTTTGTAATGCTCAATGTAGAGTTTCCCAGAAAAAGTAAAAATCTCCCAAACAATATTGCCTGTTGCCAGTATGCACTCGCTGTGCCTTGCGTGTCAGACAAGTTCTTGACAACGCACGCCACATCACTACTATTGTACAAAATCCCTGGCTACAAATGGTGCTGGGAATAGCGATAGCAAGAAAAAAACGAATGTGGTAGATTTTGTGAGAGTTGCTGTTGATAGGTAGTGAGAAACAGTCCGTCTCCTCACGACCCGTGAGACAAAATCCGGCGCAGCATTTGAAAGATAACGAGCGTTCATCTCTGCTATCAAAGTCCTGTCGAGTTCGGAGTTCATCGGCTGAAGTGAGCCTCGGTGTTCCGGCGAGCCGTGTAAACTGATTGCGTGACTGGTCCGGACTGGGTGTTTTGTGCCCTCGCGTGAGACTGATCGAGGGGTGTGGAGGAAGTTTGCTTCCTGGGGGTATCGGTAAGGACTTAGGCGAAGATACCGACAATTGACATGCCCGCAGCTGATAGTATGTCAGTGGTGTTTACATGCAAAAATGTTTCATGGATATTACTAACCTCCGGCGAGAACGTAGCAAAAGGCAGTAATCTTTTGCTTGTTGGAAAGAAGGCGGTTAGCCTCCTCTGAGAGGAAATCTTCGGCCAAAAGATCGACGAGAGCAGCGTAGAGCAGCAGGCCAGAGGATCTAAGTCACATTAGCCGAGGTTTATTACGAACGGACTAAACAACTCACATGGCGTTGAATACACCGACGATGATGAGACCGAACGCACTGTCGGGATCGTAACTGCTGCGGGTGAGAAGTCCGATGGCCTGTCCGATGGGGGCTGTGGTGCCAAAAGCGACGACTAACACCCAGGGACGAATGCTGCCCTTGGGGTACGGCACAGCGGCAATACGGGAACCAAGACCAAGACCCTCAAACATTTGGTGGAACAGGATAGCGACGAGCAGAATGATGAAACCATCAATAGTGATGGAGATGGTCATGCCGACAAACACTGAGTGGAACAGGATACCACCTTCAAGCATGGTAATGTTGAGAGACATCTTGCGATACACAGCGGGGTCAACCTGTTGACCCTCGGCATCATAAAACGGATCTTCCTGCTTGACCTCCGTAACAGCAACCTGCGACGACGTCTGCTTCTCCTGGGTGGTTCGGATCATGTTCATCATCTCCATACGCTGGCGCACATACTGCTCGTAGAAAACGACGAACCAAGGCGGCATGTCAGAGTCGGACAAGTTGGTGTTGGCGGGTGGTGGCGCTCCATACACAGTCTCCGAGTAAGGCGCGGGGAAGCGTGACTTCTCGTCGTCGTACGCGCGCTGTGCGACTCGCTTCTCAAAGTCAATGCTGTCTGCCTCGGCATCGAAGCTGTTGCGGCCATAACGAGGAGGCCGGGCAGGCTGGACGGCTCCGTGACCGTGGTCGTGCATCACATCACCAGTAGGTCCTCCGTGGGAATGGCCGCCAATCTTGGCATTGATCCACATCTCGATACTGAACAGAATGAACATGGATCCCATCATGATGGCACCTGGAAGAGGTGGGTAGTCGTCGGTGAAGAGATCCGGGAGGCACGGGTTCATGAGATTGCCGAAGGCGGTGGGAAGCAGCTGTGCCGTGTTAGTTCTGTGCAACCAAATGAGCCAAAACAACCTACATGCACAAACGCCGTCGCGATGAGCACGCCTGTACCGAAATGCTTGCATGCGAAGAAGACCTTGGGAGGAACCTTCATCCACTTGACCTTCTTGGCCACAACTGGGAAGCCAGCGCCTGGAACGGTCTTATTAGTACGTTGACCCGCGAAAGGACTCGTTTCGTTTGTTCATATCGCATACCAAAGATGGAAAAGGCCAGGACCAAAACTGCGCCAAGTTAGCCAAATTGATAAGACACCAGTGGAAAGTGTTTTGGGGCCAACTTACAAAGACCAGCAACGTGAAGGCCAACATCATACTCAGCCGATTGACCACCCTTCTTAGCGCCACACTGGGGCTTGGGCTCTTTCATTCCGTCCATCTTGATTACAAAAATCCGGTATTTGTCGCTCAAAAGAGGATTGCTGCTTGATTGGCAATCCTGAAATAAAAAAAATAAGGAGGGTTTGAGAAGGAAAAAGGCAGCCAAATAATCCGGGGCCGCCTACTGACAAGGACTCATTCGTAAAGCGAAGGCAACTGAGAACAAGGGGACATGAGAAGCTGTCCCGCAGCTTCAGTTAGAGAACAGACGAAAATGCTGATCTGGCCCCGGCTGTCGTAGGTTTGAGAGCAAGGAAAATAAAAAAGGAGTGGAAACGAAGAGAAAGGAAAAAACGGAAGGAAGAAACGGGCGATAAAAGCATAGAACGACAACAGACGCTCTGATGATGGGCGAAAGGGAAATCTTGGTCAAAGTCTGGGCTCGACTCGCTTTAATATGCTTCCTATGACAGCCCGCGCAATGCAGCCCGTGTAGAAGCGGGTAGGGAAAGAATAAACGTTGACATGGGACAGCGGTCCCTGTGCCACCCAGCCGATTCAGAAATAGAAGACGTTGCCAAGGATGAGGCAGCTGAGGGTTGAGCCTTGGTGGGTTCGTGATGGGGGGACGTGGCCTTAGCGTCCGCCTCGCGGGAAGCGGGAAGCGGGAGGACCTGAACGGGAACAAGGTTCACCGTGGGCAACAACCGTGTGCATCCGTATGGGGGCGAGGACGACGGCGGGAGCGGAAAGGTAGGCTAAGTCGACCGCGGTTAATTCGAGTCGAGCAACTTGGTGCGGTGCGGCGTGCCTGAGACCCAACTTGTGTCTAGCATCGATGATCCCGGCCGCTGACCGGATCCGATGTTGTTTGTTATAGCATGATTTGCCGGAGGGAGTCGAGACGGGAAGTCTGAGAGCCCGGCTCGACCTGACGGATAAGAAACAAGTTGTATGGGACCTGATGATGGGGTTGGATGGCGTGGATGCTACTCTGTCTCTGTAGGTGTAAGTAAGCGGCGGTGGCTGATCCAACCTTTCGTCTCGACTCGGCACAGCTTCACATCCGTCGCGCTTGGCAAATAGGACTGATAATGGTTGATGATGGGCAATATCCCAAACGAGACGACAGTCGATCTTCCATCGGGTCATTGCCAAGCGCGCGAAGGGGTCCATATGGACGTGGGGTGCGCGTCAAAATGGGGCGCCGGCATTTGTAAAATTTGGGTTGTGTGAAACGGGAGCCTCCCGGGGTCTGGCGCCAGGGTTGCCAGTCGGAAAATTCTTAACTCGATTTGACTCTTGGTGTCTAGGGAGGCTTCCCGGGAAGCCCGCGAAGAAGAAGCGCGGGGGAGGCTTGACTGGAGGCGCGGAGAGAGGGGAAACTTGGCGGGACAGGCACAAGCCGTCGAAAGCCAAGAGAGTAGCCAAGAGCACTGACACACTTGTCCCCTTTTCCCACGGCAGTGGATGGCATTCTGTCGTTGATTTTGGCTTGGCTGCGGTTGCTTGGCTGCGATTCTGCAGAGAAGGGTTAGCCAAGCTGTCTTTGGTGGTTTAGCAGGCTTGGTAGCACGGGGTTGATGGGTGACTGGTTGAGTGAGTGACTGACTGGAGGCTCCATCTGCCCTTGCTTGGTTCTGCTTCTAGTCGGCTTCTGCTTCTTCTCCGCTTCTTCTTGCCGGGGCTTTTCTGGGTCTACTCCTCGAGTGTCTCACGTGCAGAGTTTCCTATATCGGACAAACATCTGAGGGCAAGTTTTGCCTAACAACTCGCAGCCCACCGCGACAATCGCAGTCGGGGCTTAGTCGGAGGCTGATGTGTATACTCCATAGTGAGAACTGAGAGGTGTGAGAGAGAGGGCGTGACGAATGACTCTCTGGAATGGGCTCACAAGATGGGATGGGATGACATCCTGGCGCCGAGAAGTCGTCAACAGATCTGCACCATGAGTTTCCAGGCAGGGCTGGTAAAACTTGGGGGAGCCAAGCAGCCAAGGGACGTGATGGAAAAGAGGAGCCGTCGGTGTCTGAGATGAACAAGAAGAGACAAGAGATGAGGCCAGTTGAGAGACAGGAGACAGGGCCCGCGTGTTGTTGCTGTTGAAGGCGACGGTAAGAAAGCAAAGCTATAGTATCCGAGCGTGAATCGATAGTTGAGCCGGCACGAGTTGGTGATGTGAGAGAGTGGGTGAGTGGTCACCGGTCACCGGTCACCGAGGTGTATGTGTGTGTGTGTGTGTGTGTGTGTGTGTGGAAGTGAAGTTGAAAGAGAGAAGTTGGAGACGAAGAAAAGCGGGGATGTTGGGTCTTGGAGTCGTTCATTCTTGCTCCGGATTGAAACAAACATGCAAGTTGTTCCGAGCGCTCAGCTCTCGCCTTCCAAACTCTGCCCGAGTCTTTCTGAAGTGGTGCCGAAGTATCGAAAGTCTCGCGAAGTCTCACCGTCTGTGGGAGGGCCAAGGGAGGCAGTCAGAGGAGAGGGCGAGAGCCAACAGTTGGCTTTGGATTACGCTACAGCTACTACTCACTGCTACTTTGCCCAAAACTCTGTAACAGCCCCAAACTCTTGGCAGAAGGACTCGTCGCTTCCTGTTGCGGTGCACCCACGCGGCTCCTGGGTCTGCCGTCATGCGTGAAACACGGCCCCTGGCCAATCGGCGCCGCATTCACTGTGCCCTGTGCCAGTGTCGTAGTCGTGTACCTCGTGTACCAATGTACCTGTAAGTCGTAACTCGGACCTTTCCTTGATCATCCTGACATACTCCCATCCCGCAACCTGCTTCTGTTGGTCAGCTATGCATCACTTTGAACGACATAATCATTGCTTCTGAACATCCTCGCAGGGTCACCTCTGTCATTCTTCCCTCTGAGACTCCAAGCTAGGCTCCAAATGACCTTTGACTCTCTCGACTCCGCCTGCCGACTGCGTATGCCTCCCTCGCTTGCACTTGTAAGTCAAACCGGCACGAGTTGTCTCTGACAAGGAAGACACAAATAGCTGCCCCCTGATTCCCTGAACATCAACACCTCGTGCGCCATCATCACCACTCTACTGGCGGAATGGTGGAGTTGAAATGGCAAGAAACGAGCGGGAAAGCCTCCTGTACACGCACCACATCTCAAATCTTGCCGTCATTGTCCAGGGTGCTTTTTGTTTCCCCCTCTCAATCTCAACGTTCTAGCCCGTTCAACATGTGCGCATTGAAGGGGGCAGGGCCGCCGGGAAGCTTGCAAGAGCTTACTGATGATGATAATCAACGAAATAAGGGGCCGCTTCTGCAGCCCGGCTCCCTCCCCCCGGACTTTGCGGAGAGGCGGGCATGATATCAGGAACACTACTACGTATCCGTACAGGATGCCATCTACTCTCTTTTAATATACGACTACCAGTCTCAAAATCGACTTCACTATTGTACTATTCTTTCTACTTTCCCATCTCACCCAAGAACCAACCCAGCTCAATAGTTCCCAAAAATGCAAACTCCACGCGAGTCTCAGGACGGCGTCCAACCATCATCTAGTACGTGGGTTTCGGCTCTGTCTCTCTATTTTTTCCCTGGCCACACCCCTTCCCACCCCTTCCCGCTATGCTCTCCTTCGCCTCACCTATCCTATCTTTCCACTTTGCTGGCTGGTTCATCACATCCTCGCAGAGATGTGCGACTGCTGCTCGCATCGGATTTCCCTGCCGCCGGTCCTGCTCTGTGACCACTGACCACCAACTACCGTGGTGGCCACTGCTTCACTTCATCCCACTCTTTCACACGTCGACCAGTCCCCGCTGACCATTGTGCTTCAGTCGCCTCAGCTCGAGGCAACTCTGTCGGTCATTCGGAAAGTAATTCGAAAGCTGAAGCGAACAAGGAACACAATGAACACCTAAAGGACAACGCAGACATCATCTCACCGGTTCAGCCATCTGGCACGGACGACAAAGCTGTGACTGAAGGGCTCTTCGTGTCGACTTCGAACGACACAGCAGCCAACAAGAGCGACGTCGTCAGAACTTCCTCCAAGAGAGGCGGCGGCGACGGCCCGTACTCCAACGTCGACGCCACGGACGCTTCTACCGTCGACACTTATCGGCCGGACCCCTACGACTTTGGTCGACACCGTCGTGACAATGTCTCCAAGAAGCAGATGAAGATTGAGCATCCCAAGGGCAACAAGAGGAAACTAAAGAAATTCTACAACCGACAGAATGAGCTCATTGACCAATTCCTCGGTGCCGAGGATGAAGAGAGACAGCAGGTTGCCGAAGACGCGCGAATGGGTCCCAAGATCAAGTTCGCCGTCAACGCCTCCTTCACAGTCAACTTTTGCCTATTCGTCATTCAGCTCTACGCCGCCGTCTCAACTGGGTCTCTGTCGGTAAGATAGGCAGCCAAGTCCCTGTGCTCACGGACTCCTATTGACTCGTGAATTCTCCAGCTTTTTGCCACTGCAGCCGACGCATTTGTTAGTCAATCATTTTCTGAGTTGCGGCATCATTAGAGGAGTTGAGTTGACTAAGAAATGCCCAGATGGATCTGGTCTCATCCTTTGTGATGCTCATCACCTCAAGGATGGCGGCGCGGCCGAGCGTTTACAAGTACCCGGTGGTGAGTTATCACCCTTGGCAATTGAATTCCAAAGCAGGGTCTGACAGACTGGGGATGAAATAATAGGGACGAACCAGGATTGAGACGATTGGCATCATCTTATTCTGCGCTCTCATGACAACCGTTGCCATTCAACTTCTGGTAAGTTTCTCGCCAAGTGACGTATGACTTGGTAGTTTGAGATGGCTGATCCGGGGGCGCAACAGGTCGAGTCAGGCCGCTCACTTGGCGAGGGCAAGCGGGCCTCTGAACAACTGCACATTGTCCCCATCGTTATCGTTGGTGTGGCCATCTTTGCCAAGGCCTCCTTGATGATCTACTGCTTCGCCTACCGGAAATTCCCTTCAGTGCATGTGTTTTTTGTATGTTGCTCAACCTTCCCCCCGGGGCGGCTTGTCTGTTCGGACGACGCCTTTTGCTAATAATAGCCTCCCGTAGATCGACCACCGCAATGACATTGTGGTCAACAGCTTCGGCCTGATCATGTCCGTCGTGGGAGACCGCTTCGTGTGGTACTTGGATCCCATTGGCGCCATCTGCATTGCGCTGCTCATCTTGTTCTCCTGGGTGTCCAACGCCTTTGAGCAGGTGTGGTTGCTCGTCGGCAAGTCGGCGCCGAGGGACTTTGTCTCGAAGCTGATTTACATGGCCATGACCCACGATACTCGGATTCTCAAAGTTGACACTGTAAGAATACCCCGAATTGAGAGAGCGAGAGAGACATATATGCGTGAGAAATGGCCCCTCTGACTCCACGAGCAGTGCCGCGCGTATCACGCAGGACAAAATTACTACGTGGAGATTGACATCGTCATGGATGAGACGACGCCCCTGAGAATCTCGCACGACGTTGCTCAGGAACTGCAGAGAAAGGTCGAAGGTAAAGTGCTCTCTTTCCTTTAGCGATGAGATTTGACGGAAAGACAGAAGGGAGCTTGATTTTGCTGACTTTTTGAACGCTGCTAGGTTTGTCTGATGTCGAAAGAGCCTTCGTCCATGTCGACTACAGCGAGGCTCACGATCCTCATGAGGAGCACAAGCCGCTGTACGAGAGACTCTCAAAGAAGCCCCAGAAGAGGACGCTCAAGGACATCCTGTTGAGGACGAAGAAGGAGACGGCAGACGTCACGGAGACTGAAATCTCGAGCGGGCGAAACTCTGCATGACGGGGATGAGGAGGAGGGATAGACGATGGAGAGAAAGGGAAAATATAGGGAAAAGGCGTGAGCAATACTAAGGATATGAAGAAAAATATGCGGGAAATGTAGGGACAAGAGTAAACTTGGCGTTTTAGAGACGGCAGGAATCGCATGAAGATAATCAGCTTTCTTATCAATCTGCTTTCTCCCACGATGTCGTTGCAGCGAAGAGTGTTGCGTTGACTACCTAGTATCCTTGTTTCGACATGGGTAGAGGGGTCCCGCACACCTTGCGGGAACGGACGGGATGGGGAAGAACAGCGGGGAAGCAGCATCTCTGAGCCACAAAAGATGTCCAATAGACTTACTGGGCTGGCGGCTTTGGCGGGACATGAAACCGAGATGGGCACGGCAAACGATGTTTCCCGGAGAGGGAATAGAGACGACATAGGGTATCCGGGCATGCTAGGAAGTAAAAACGTAAGAGCAATGTAATGGCGCGACGGCAACGAGGCAGCTTGCGAATCGCAACTGCGCAAGGGTTCACTGTTCATGCCTGGTGGGTGGCTCTCATGTTGTCTGGAGGGCTTGCTGTGTTACGACGGTGATGGGCGCTATTCCGATATGACTGTTAACTTGAGAGTGCCGAGAGCGAGGCAGTGTAAGTGATGGCTGTCACTTGTGCCACTTGGCGGTTTTGCTGACTGCACTTGGCGGTCTTGAGGGTTGGCATCGTGTCAGTGACTTTTATAAGTTGGACCGAGCTTCTCTTTTATCTGAGTTTTTTGTCGTTGGGGAAGGGGGATCGCCAAGTGAAAGTTGGACGACAAGAGCTTGGCGGCTGAAGCAGCATGAGACGACACAGCCAAGCCCAGTTTTTGACAATGTCGTAGTCTTGCGACTCTTTGCCCCGGGTATCGAATGCTTGGCTACGCGTCTTTCTTGTGCTTTTCCCCCATCGACCCCGGTCTTGGCTTGGTGGAGGATAAGGGGGATGCCGAATCATGGATGGATCATGGGTTGCGGATGAGAATGGAAGGAAGAAAGAGGGAAAGCCTACGGACAAGATCGGAGGGGACTGTCACTGTGACCGGAGGAGCGGTGGAACAGAAGGGGACGTGCGTGTTGACGTGTTTGCGTGGCTTTCTTGTCAGGAAGGGGTCTCTTCTCGTGTTCCATGTCCCGGTCTCGAGATCCACATCACCGACGACCCTCGGAATGTTGTTGTGTTGTTACGTCTTCCGCGGGGCCTTCGGCCGCCGAGAGCGTTGGGGGTTCGAAGATGTTGGTGCGTTGCTGTTGCTTGAGGGGAATATTCCCGGACCGTTCTTCGATGCAAGAGCATGAGTCTTTATTATGCTGAGTAGCTGAGTGTGGGTTAGAGTGAACGCTCTTTATTGAGTCCATGGAGGTGGAGATGTAAGGAAAGGTTTGTACTTCGACAGGATCTGGGCGATATAAATGCGTCTCAGCAGCGGGCTGGAATCATCATGTACACGACGAAAAATCTAGACTAAGAGGCATCGACTTGCTTTGCGTGGAACTGATTCGTAAGAAGGTACAAACGGCCGTGAGACGCCTTATGGACCACGGGTCTCATTGAACCCGGGATGAGATCAAGATGGTGGAGAATAGGACGGTATTCTATGCCACTGTGCCATCAAAGCCCATTTGCGTCCCGGATCATATACCTGGCTGAGTTACGTAGAATCAAAATGAGAGAGATCTATCAGTTGATCTTCCATGGAAAATCGGCTCCTCATCCCTATCCTGTGAGAACCCATGAAATTGATGCTTCATTCAAAGGCGCAGAAGTCCAAACATTGAGAAGATGGATTTGACCAAGTCTTGAAATCTGTAGTCAGTGAATTGTCTGAAAACCTTCCCTCAAGGACTAGAGATCTGAGGTAGATACAAACTTCTCAGGCATGTCAGAACGGTCGCCGGAACGAGGCGGTCGACGTTCTCATTTCGGTTCGGCCGTAGTCTCTCATTAAGATAGGTCCATCTAGGTAATCGCACAAGTTAGCCAAAGCCACTGCCTTGCCTCTCCTGTATGATGCTCCTTCTGGTGTGTTTAAACTTCTCGCAACAAAGTATGCAGGAAGGAGAGAGTGAAGCGGACTTACCACATCCCGCCAATGCTTGCCATGAGGCAAACTCTGTCTGAAAGGAAAGTCCTGGGATTGCGCTCACAGAATATTGACAGCTACTTCTCATATTGCCTTCGGGTACCCAGGAAGCCATTTTGTACTCTGACTGGCATCTTGCCACAGTTGAGTCACTCGCCTCTTTCCCCTTGACTTCTCCCAACATGATTTTTGAATCATCATCATCTCGATAGGAATTGGCGCGCAAAGGCATTATCAAATACCCGCAAAATTCTATCATCGAGACGAAGGCCACGACTCTTGCTGTCTGCTTCTATTCCTATTAAGATGCCCGACGACAACTGTTGGTACTTGGTACCTCAACCCACCCACGAAGACCTGCGTTCCGACAAAATCTACAGAAGTTGTACTGAAAGCCTGAGCAAGGGGTGCCTCGGTTTCCCTGGATACTTTCGCATCATATGCCTCTGGGGCGGAGAAGAAGTCTTCATTCGAGAAGAAGCGGCCCAAGGTCAAATGTTCAAGACCTGGCGCGAGAATAATCCGGTCGCGGTCGTCAACTTCCGCCAACGGGCCTCCAAAACTGGCTACTGGGATCCCATCAGAAATGATCTTGGACATACCATCTTCTATTACGGGCAATTCTTCCAGCGTGTCGACTTCAACAAGGCCTACGAGGTCTTTGCACGCAACCCTCAGCCTGAGTACGCCAAATCGCGGACTCTGTTCTGTTTAGGGGATCGGGCTGTGCCTGCAGAACCGTGGACGGCACACGTGGTCGGATTGGGAGAGGAACTCGATTTAGAGACTGTCGATTCAGCAGTCGACGACCGGCCCCCTGGTTTTGACTCGAACGCTTAGGAAACCTGCCAAACCACCATCAACGAGAATAATGCCACTGATGCTGTTCAACTTTTTAGCGACATCTACACCAATATCTTCAGGTACTCTAGAGGGACCATCGACGGTAACCAAGCCCTGTCCGCCGTCTGTCAAGCTTTCCGCCTCTTCCCGGACGCCGTAAAAGTCTTGAGGTCAAGTTTGAGTCCTCAGGGACAAGCCGATGCCTTCAGTGGTCCACTGATCTTTCCCGCACCGGACTTCGAAAACGGATCCGTAGGCTGCCTTTCCGTTAAAGCTCTAAATTTCGGGAGAGCAGCGATCATAGCGCATCCTGCAGTATTGCACTTGATCGCCAGGTTTATTCATGTCTACTTCCTCAAGGGCGACGTCACTGACCGCTACCGTGGTAGCTTGTTTGAAATTATTTGCTTTCTTCGTTTAGAACATATTCCATGTTATGACACGACCATCTCGACCAACGGCGACTCCTCTCGCCGTCCTCAAGTTTGTCTGCCGCCTGAGAGTTGGACTCACGGAATTGAGGAAATGAACAAGCGGGACAGTCAAAAGGACATCGACCGCCTTGTGGCTTTCTTTGAATCTTTTGAACGCTAGCCCCTCCATCGGATAGCATCGAAGATACTATAGGAGGCTATCATCAAAGGACTCCCCTTGGTGCGAAGGATGAACAGGGCGATGGCTATCGCAACTAGCTGATGCTAGGGCAAGTATCATTTCGCCCTTACTTTACTACTGTTTTGTGTATATGTGGTTTCAGCGATGCTGGAGACCTATGAATGAGAAGCAGCTCTGAACGTCGCGAGTTCATTCTAGCCCGTGTGCGTGCATTCTGCCGGTAACTACATGATAGTCTTGAATGAGTAAGGCCAGGTTAAACCATTTTCTTACAAGCTGTAAAGCTCTGTATCAGATAGTAGAAACCACGAACACCCCCTGGCACCCCCACGCTATGGCTTCCCTTAGCCCTTCAAGCTGGCATAAAAAGTAATGCCAAGACCGGACTGGCTGAATTAGAAGTTGACAGATGTAAGGTAGTTACGGGAGGGCAGCTTGATCCTCCATGGCGATGTTGTTGTCTGGCAAGGATTGTCGTGCGGCTCCTCTCCATCTCATTCCTGCCACTAGGCTAATCTTTCCAGCCTTTACGAGGAGTGAATCATCTCTAGATATCGACAAGAAATTGGCCGCGTATTCGAGGGGCTTCTGAGATGTAGAGGCCCCGAATAGACCTCGATCGGTCTACTCTTGTCATTTTTTCTTTTTCTTCTTTAGCTTTGTAGCTACCATGTGTAACATATCCGGACAATGCTTCCGTATTTATGGAGAGATTCAAGGTAGCCAATCTCATGGTTCTGGTTAAAATGATCAATCCACACTTATTTTGTTGTGTTCATTAGCAGAGGAAGAGAGGTGGCTATTCTAGAGGAAAGACACAAAAGAAAAAAGGCAAAAGTTCAACACTCGAACTGGCGAGGTTCGAGTGTCTATGAAAGCGCTCGTTGGCATCTATTTCTACCAATTGTATACCGCTCGGCTACTGCGGGCGGTGACTTTTCCGATGGTCTTCGTACATATACCTGGCAAGCTTTCGTCGTGAATCCTTTATTCCCACGGATTTTGAATATGTTTACCACCCGGGGGAACGTCATCATTTGCATAACTTATCAATACTTCAGTCAAGCTGAATCATGGGGTATCATTTCTATTCCATTCTTAACTCAGCCATTTCTCGGCCTTATTGGGTATCAATCTTCTAAGCACATCAATCTGGCGCGCCTGCGCCTTGTGTCTCAAGTCTGCGACTCCTCGCCTATCCGTCCGTCTCTGCCCATTCGAGTAGACCACTGTGAAATCCGGGACCTTTTCGCCAGGCTTGATGACAGTCAAAGGCGAGATTGTGCAGTTCTGCAGCAGTTAGTTGGCCATCCCAGCTGGTCTGATGGAAAGATGGCACCAACCTTGCCAATGACGGCGCCATGTCCGATCCGAGATCGGACCCCAACTACCGTATCTGTTCCAATATCTGTGCCTCCGGATTCAATGGTGGCGCCAACCTCTACCGTCACGTAGTCTCCGAGCGAGATGCCTCCGCTGGCGTCGTCGTTACCAACTTTGCCGATATGAGCCCGCTCGTGGATGATGCACCTCCGACCGATGAGGATGCTGCCGTTCGTGGTCTCCAGCTTCGATCGTGGGTGCAATACGCTTTCCGACTGAATCGTGATTGAGTGTGTTCCGACGAGAATGGCGCTGTCGGCCACGGTAAGAGATGACGAGAAGCTAACGGGAGGTCGTGGGCCTTGATTGGAGACGGCGGGCAGCATAGAATGCCGCTTGTTAGACGACATTGTGGTACGCGTCCTGGATTGCTCCGACCCAATGCAAATCCTAGCCGAATGATGTAAGGTGCATTATCGGTGACGCCTGTAACGATTCCAGGCTCGAATAGGAGACCGAGATGCGGCGCGCAACGGTGTTAGTGATGGGATAGCTCGCCGTGGGGCAGTAGAGTCTGACGTCGATTCTCTGGAGCGGCCCCAGCGCATAACCCCGGTTAATGCATCCGCGCTCCCACGTGACCGTCTCGCTGACTAAATGACCCGCATTGGCCAATCAACGCCAGTTGGAAATAAGCATCATCGATTTGGTGCAATTGAGCTGTGTTCCACGACGACGAATTCCTCCGATCGACAACCTCCATCCACCACCAAATACCCCCCCAACGCCCACGATGGCCACTCCACGGCGGTTGCCCGCGCAGGCCGCTCAGGCTGCGCGAAACTTTGCGACAGTACGAACCTACGGCGGACTCAAGGATCAGGACCGTATTTTCCAGAATCTTTACGGCCGGTTGCCCCCGACGCTGGCTTCCGCGAAGAAGTTGGGTGATTGGCACAAGACGAAGGAGATCATTCTTAAGGGACACGACTGGATTATCAGCGAGGTCAAGGCCTCTGGTCTCCGTGGACGTGGAGGTGCCGGTTTCCCTTCAGGATTGAAATGGGTAGGTCGCCACCTTGCGATTTTGCTGGACTATTGCCGCGGCAATCAAGGGAAGGGGCGGAACAACGGGCTAACGCAACGGCAATCGCGCAGTCATTCATGAACTTCAAGGACTGGGACAAGGACGACAAGCCGAGATATTTGGTCGTCAACGCCGATGAGGGCGAGCCCGGAACCTGCAAGGACCGCGAGATTATGCGAAAGGATCCCCACAAGCTTATCGAGGGCTGCCTCGTCGCCGGCAGAGCGATGAACGCCACCGCCGCCTACATTTACATCCGCGGCGAGTTCGTTCACGAAGCTGCCGTTCTCCAGAACGCCATCAACGAGGCATACAAGGATGGATTGATTGGCAAGAACGCCTGCAACTCCGGATACGACTTCGACGTCTTCATTCACCGTGGTGCCGGTGCCTACGTCTGCGGTGAGGAGACCTCCCTCATCGAGTCCCTCGAGGGTAAGCCCGGAAAGCCCCGTCTCAAGCCCCCTTTCCCCGCTGCTGTCGGTCTTTTCGGATGCCCTTCCACCGTCGCCAACGTCGAGACTATCGCTGTCGCCCCCACCATCTGCAGACGCGGTGGCAACTGGTTCGCCGGCTTTGGCCGTGAGCGTAACCAGGGCACCAAGCTCTTCTGCATTTCCGGTCACGTCAACAACCCCGTCACCGTCGAGGAGGAGATGTCGATACCCCTGCGCGAGCTTATCGACAAGCACTGCGGCGGTGTCCGTGGTGGCTGGGACAACCTTTTGGCCGTCATTCCCGGTGGCTCTTCCACCCCTATTCTTCCCAAGAGCATCTGCGACAACCAGCTTATGGACTTTGACGGTCTCAAGGACAGCCAGTCCGGTCTCGGTACTGCCGCCGTCATTGTCATGGACAAGAGCACCGACGTTGTCCGCGCCATTAGCCGTCTCTCCCACTTCTACGCCCACGAGTCCTGCGGTCAATGCACGCCCTGCAGAGAGGGTAGCAAGTGGACCGACCAGATCATGAAGCGTTTCGAGAAGGGCCAGGGCCGGCCACGCGAGATCGACATGCTTCAGGAGCTCACCAAGCAAGTTGAGGGTCACACTATTTGCGGTATGTATCTTCGTTCATGACGTCAATGATTCCCATTGCTAATCACTCTTATCTAGCTCTTGGCGAGGCTTTCGCCTGGCCCCTTCAGGGTCTTATTAGACATTTCCGCCCCGAGCTTGAGAAGAGAATGGAGGAGTACGCCGCGCTGAACGGCGGTGCTAACGCTCTGGGTGGTGGTTGGGAGCCGACTGCCCGGGCTCAGGGCAAGCTGGTTTCACCGGGACAGTAAAAGGCTGAGATTTTTTGCATGCTTGTAGACCGGCGCCCGAGGGCTTGTATATATTAGTAGTACATTAGCAGAGCCCTAAATGCGCTGGAGTTCATTTGTTCACGACTATTCAACTTGTACACACTGTTCCCCATGCTATTGCGATGACCTTAATTGGAGAAATGAGATGTCGGCAGGGAACCTTAACAATCAATCGACAAACTGAACCGGACCCATGGGTAGTTGAATCATGTATGAGAGTCTATGAATCATACACGTCAATTCTTCAAGCCACTCTATCGGCGTTAAGCCTCAAGAAATCTGTCCAATAAGGCCGCTGTATTTCTCATCTCTTTATGCAAAGCCGCAAGCATGCCAGGGATCTTCCACTCGGCCCACACATCCGGACAGCTCGGGACTCGGCTGGCTGCACCACCGGCCAAAGAGACTCCTCCGAAGAACGGCGGGCGGGGGTTTCTGTAAACTACCGTCTCCGATTTCTTTGACCGCCCCCCGTCTACCCACGATAACTCCCTCGGCCGGTTGGAGATTGTGCTCCGTCTGTTTCTCGAGTATTCTTACTGGGATTTTTTAGTCCAACGCACTTGGGTTTTGTTGTGTTTTCTTGTTTATCTGTCCTTTAGCGGAGAAAGTTTCGCCGAGATGACTTCTTTCACTTTTGACCAGTTTGTCGCCTTTGCGTCTGACAGTGGTGAGTACTATTCTTGATTGAGCACTCTCATACACTGCATATTTGAAACGTTGGGTTCGGCCTATCGTATTGCCTCAATTTCGCCTCAATCACGATCTAAGATGACGATGCCTCTCACTCATCCCCTCCACCCTGCTCACCGCTCACCCTCACAATCATGCTCATGAGAAGCTGACACACAAAACTCAAGCCGGCCTCGAACGCATTCTCCGCGGCCTCCAAGCCCTCACCGCAATCTTCTCAGCCTACCCATCCCTCGTGGCCCTCGCTCTGCTAGACGCAGACCCGCCATTCCTCGAAGCTCTCGGCCCGCTACGAGGCCACCTCAACCTCACGCGCCGCTTCATCCGCTTCTTCTGGTTCCTCAACTCCTTTGGCACGTCCTACAACCTCTTCACCTCCATCTCCTCGTCACCGTCACCATCTTCACCAGCCAAGAAGAGCCAGGGCGTGGGTCTGGAGACCTGGCTCGACATCATCAAGTTCACCCTTCTCGGCCTCTACGGCGGCCTCGAGTCCCTCACCCTCCCGGACCTCCTCGGCGTCCCGCAGATCGCCTACTTTGGCGCCGAGCGCACGCGGGCGCTGAACGTCGAGGCGCAGCGGTTTTGGCTTCTTGCGTTGGCGGCGGGCGTCTTTGCGAATTTGACGAGGGTGCTCAAGGCTTTTGCGTACGCGCCAGTGCCGCAGCATGGGCATGGGTACGGCACGGGGGAAAAGCCGGGTGAGAAGAAGGCTGTCGTTGAGGGAGGTGCTGAGAAGGAAACTGCTGCTGCTGCTGCTGCTGTTGTCCTTGACGAAAAGAAAGGCGACGAGGGAGGAGAGGACGAGAAGCTTGATTGGGAGGCTGAACGTACTCGTCTCCGGGCTATTGTCATGAAGAGACGGGAGGATAGGAAGCGGTGGCGGAGGGAGGTCGCGGTCAAGGTCAAGAGCCTTGGGCGCAAGATCTTTTCCGACTCGTTGGATTGCCTTATTCCGGGCGTGATTCTGGGCTGGGTCAACGTTCAGCCGGGAACTGTTGGGGTTGCCATGTTCATCACTACCATCTTGAGCAGTAGAGATATTTGGGATAGATGCGGTGCGACTGTTAGTCAGAGAAGGAGCTCCTAAGGGAGACTTGAAATGGGATGCGGCGATTGAAGTGTCCCTATTCTAGAGGTCCTGCATTTATATTTATATAGATTTAGAGACGGACATGGATTACGTCCTGCATGATGCCAAACCAGATATCAAAGCACACTCGTCATACAAACTTCAGGCCAGTCTTCGTCCATAGTGTCATCATGTCTATCGTATCCTTCTCCTTTGCACTCCGCCAAAGGTCGTGGTAAATCACCAAGCGGATGAGCTTCTCGTTCTCAATTTGGGTTAATTTCCTCCGAGGGAGTAAACGGCTTACTCGGCAGAGACAGACATGGGGGCATGTCTCTGCTCCGGAGCCTGGGGAAGGCGGATTCGGTATTTGTGCGAGCCGAGATCGTCTTCGTCGTCCTCGTCCCACAAGACCTGGACCTTGGCACGCCTCAAGATGGAGAACTGCTGGGCGATTGCAATGACAGCCTCAAGCACACTGTGATTTTCTTGTCAGCGACGAATCCAGAGAAACAGGCCTGGCAAACATTGGAAGACAAACTTACCCAACAATGATGGCAACGACCGCAATGCCAACGTGGTCCTCATAATGCCAGCAGTACGGTTCACCAGCAGCAATGACACCAGACGTGAAAGAAACAGCCGCAAACGTGATATCGAGAGCAGTATACAGCCAGCCCAAAGCCCTCCTCTTCTTCTTATCATCACCGTCGAACCACCTACGCATCCCACCGTGGCTCTCCTCGTCGTCATCACCACCGCCATCACCGCGACGTCCACGGCGGCCAAAGATACACTTGACGCATCCGAGGTCGACGATGACTGGCTTATTCCGGTCACTCCGCTTGTGTCCGCCCTGCGCCAAGAGCGCGAACGTGAGCCATAGCAGCTGCAGGGTAGCCAGGAAGATGAAGACTTTGGAGAGGCTCTCGTACCGCCTCCGGCCGTCCCACTCGAGGATGACGAGGGTGAGGCTGAGGGCGACGGCGATGAAGCGCAGCAGAGCGACGGAGTTGATGATGAATTTGAGGAATACCAGGGGTGAATACGTGCCCGAGCCGCCGCCGTTGTGGGATGAGGCGGATGAGTGGTGGGACGTAGGGGTCAGTGGGCGGAAGACGACGTTGGGGTTCAACAGTCTGTTTTCCGGAGGGGAGGAGGCCATTGTTTTGAGGGACCCTAGGAACTTGGTGGAGGGGAGGTCGTATACTATATCGTGGGGTGGGTAGTGGTATGTGTTGTCTGTGTAGGACAGTGCTTGCTTATCCGAGTAGACAGGCATCGAGAGGTTTCATCCGACGGTGGGAGGTGAGGGAGAGGCTGTTATATACGAGACTGAGTCGTGCCCCATCTCACGAATGGAAAGAGGCAGCAGGTAAGCAATGCGGTGTTTGTGTGTGTTTGTGTGTGTGTGTGTAGTGAAAAGTGAGAGAGATACTTTGGGTTCGGTATTGGACTCAAGGGAAGAGGAGACCAGAATCAGAACCAGAGCATGCAGACAGACCCATATCCGAGAGAGATAGTAGGGAGGACACCCGTCAACGTGAGTACGCCTTGGAATCTCACGCGCACCCAGCTTGGCTCCCATCCCTTGAGCCAACAGACACTCCCCCTTCTGCACTCTTCACCAATGGCAACAAAGGGTCCCGAGAGCCGCGGAGGCACGCCCCGGCTTCGCCATGCGGGATCTCCAAGTCGTTCATCCACTGACGTTGTCCGGAATTCGGGTGCCTGGAGGTCCACTTTGACCTAGTGACACACCAACGTCAAACCACCCCCGCCTCACGAGGGGAAGCTTATAATTGGCCGGCCGGACGAACTGGGTGTAAAGAAACGCCCAGCGGCGGCGCGATTCGGATTTTTTCTTTGGAGAAGGATTGACATGTATCAGTTGTTTTGGTGTCGTTGGGGTCTGGTTTAGGCTTTGATGTGGTTACGGTTACGGTGGTGATCGTCGCGGATCTTACCAAAGTCCCGTCTTCGGGGGTGCTGGGCACGCTGAGGTACGCGTAGGCTAGTGGCTTGCTGGAGGAACGTCGAAAGGGATTGTATTAGCCTCATTCAAGTCTCATCAGACCATGGGTTCGTATTCATGAAAATATTTTGGAATATACTGCTGTGGTACCGGTCGATTCGCAGTCGTCTTAGCATTACCTCACAACTGCTTGAAGTCGAACATCGACATGTCAAGAAGCACCTCATGATCAAACATTCTTCTACTAGGTAGTTGAGCTGTACACTGTCTACATGCACCAGATAGGTAGTCCCAGCATGGATGTAACAAGAATTCTATCCTGTCAATGTCGAAATTTCCAAAGGGATATCGTCTTCGCCCAGAATTCGTCCAATATTATTCGCTCTCTCGAACGCCCGATTGACAATGCTAACCAAGATATGCTGTCAGTCAAGCCGATGCTCCACCATTCAGACTTTGAACACAGCAATACCGGGCGACGGCTATGCAGGTTTCAGGACAGTTGCTTAATGCTGGTGCCTGCTCGGAAGCATCCGAGGCTCTCGAAGCCAGGCCCAGACTTGCCAAGTTGACGCAAGCAAGCGCCATTCCTTCCACCAACAACAACCACCACCTCGTCTGTCAGTCTAGCTGAATCAACGACGACCCGTCACACGATAGCTCCCAGTTTCGATCGATACTTTCCATCCGTCGTTGACGAGGGCGGCAATAACGCCCTGTCTCAGTCGCGACACACCTCCGGCACTATGGAGGCCACGGCCTGTAACGATTGTGAAGCCTTCGGCCGCCTTTCTTGCTCGGTACTCGCCGAGGCCATTCCACCAGTCCCAAACGCGCTCACGAGCGATTCGGACGCCGTCCGCAACTTCAACGCCGTGGAGGTCGATCGACTTTCCTGAACTAGTGCTGGAAACGTGTATATCGGCCGCGACGCTCTTTGCCTTGGCGAAACTGCGCGCCTCCTCGCGTCCACGATCTGCATAGTATCCTGCTGCCTGCCTGTACAAATGTCCCTTTTTGTACACTTGGCCGGCAGTCGTATAAGAGTGACTGCTGGCCTCGCGGTACATGCCAGCTGTGTCCATGGCCTGCTGATAAGTGCGGGGTCCCGACGAGGGGCTGTTCAGGAGAACCGGGCTGTTAAGGGGCCGCCCAATGGGCAACATGAGTGACGTTTTTGGCGAGGTAACCTTTTGCCAGCCATCGGACGAGCCCTCCAGCTCTTCCGTCGTCAAAGGCGCTAGCTTGTAGTTGATGTCCAGGCGTTTGGCGGGCAACTTGCCATAGTGACGATTCAGCAACGTAGCAACCTCCTCTGTCCACTGATGGTCGCTACGTGTGACTTCGTTGAGGGGAGACAAGTACTGTTCGGGAATGTGTCGGAATTGCTTCTTGAGTTCCTGAATGTACTGCTTCCGGTGCTCGTCTTCGCCAGTCCAGGCACCGACACCTTGCTTAACGAAACGATCGAGGAACTCTATGATGGTGAGTTCTGTTGAGCCTTTCCGCGCATCAAAGACGTCCGAGACTTCATCGAACGGCAGATCGAGCTTCTCCACGATGAACAGGATCTTCTCAACCCCTGAGCAATGTCAGTTGATGCTTTCTATAGCCATTCCGCTTTACTCACGTTCATTTTCATCAATGACAGGCGAAGTTTCATTGATGCTACTTGAGCTGGACGACAGGTCTGTACGAAGATCTTTTCGTTTCTTCCCCTTGGCTTTCTTTTTCCCGGACGCCTTTTGGGACAGCCCCGAATCCGCGAAGCCATCGATGCCCTTTGGCCTCTCGCCGATGGACTCAAGATACTGAATGTTCAACAAGGTCTCCAGGGCGGCTTGGAAGTCGCCCTTGGCTTTCTTGAGCGCGAAGCTCACATCATGCGGCTTCAGGTCTGAGAACATATCCTGCAGCTGCAAGAGTTTCTCTTGATCCGAGTCGCCGTCAAAGGTTGCTATACGGGGGACGTCATAATCCGGTTCAGATGGAGGCGGGCTCGTCAGCCTGGTTCCAGAGGAATCCGAGTCCCTCGGCTGAAGCCCCTCCGAGACCGTGGAGCTGTCTCGCGCATCGACTCCCCCATCACCGGAGCTGATGGTGTCCGGGACACCGCTGGCATTGAATCCGCTCGCTTCTTCGACCAGCACATTCTGGGCTATGCTCTGCAGCATCCCGCGAACGTCGGTGAGCTGGCTCGCATCTTCAAGATCTATTTCGCTCGCGATTGCGATAACGACAGTAGGATCTAGTAGGGGAAATTCCGCCTACACGAACGTCATCAGTATACACCTTGGCTTCAACCCCTCAAATGGCTTCTGCTCGTGACGCGTTTCCATGCCGCCTCTTCTTCTCTCAAAAATGGTGATGTTCTCATGAAATATCAAGGGAAAATGCAGAAGTGCCATCGAATAAAGAGTCGCTCACCACTAAGTCATCTAGGGTTGGTGTAGCCATTGGTCAAGTTGAAAACCTTCAGGGTTCGAGATATCGTTGTGAAATAGTCCAAAGCTCACTAGTCATGCTGGAAGGGAAAGCTGCAAAAAGGTATTTTGCTACCAAGTCTCTGGTCGTAAGAACAACCAGAAGGCCAAGCCGATCAAGTGAATCAGACAAGCAACAGTAGTTGCAAGCAAGAACCGAAATTAGTTGCGTAGCGACAGTCGAATGCGCGAGTAGCCGCGTAGCAAACAAACGAGCAGACGACGCAATGGTGGTGATGACGCAGGCGGGGCGCTTTTTGGTGGTGGTAGTGGATGTTGGTTTCTGTAAAGGAGAGTCTTTGGCGCTAGGGTGCTCAAATGCTAACGAGTGCTCGATGAATCATGTGGCCGCCAGTCTAAAGCGCGCATGTCCTAGTCCAAGTCTTGTCAAAAAGCAAATCAATGACTCTGATCATGTCTGTCATCCGGGCTAGGATCGACCGCGCCTCACGTTGAAAAGACGTTGCTTGTCTACTCCGGTCGGGATGTGGCTTTGCGGCTGAGGTCATCAGAGACACGTGCACAGCGGAAGAAGATGTGGCTGATTCGTGGCTGAGGAAAGCGGAAGCGAAGCATAGGGTCATGTGGCTGGTGCAGAAACACTCCACCATCTGGGTACCCCACCATCTTCGGACATTCGGTGCAGCGAACATCCTCGATACGTACCTCCACAGATGACTTCATCCCCTTCAAACCGTGGCACGACATCAGTGGCCCGTCTTTGGGATAAGCACGAGCTAGCGGTTCCCTTCCCGAAGCCGGATCGCTGTAACTCTCATCAACTAAAAGGCGTCAACGGGGTCCGGTTGGCTCCGGCTTGATCAGCTACCAGGAACGGCACTCCGCGGAACAGCAGGATGCTCCATATCTGCGTCAATCAAGCTAGCGGCTAATGTATTACTCGGCGACTCTGGCACTTGGAGGTGGGAAGCGGGATGCGATGCTCCATCCTTGTTTCACGGCTTGCGTTGTTGACTGAGGCGCCTCTCACGTTACCGCATGAAAACCTGCCGATATGCAATCAGCTGTGTACCTCCGTATAGACGGCATGGCAGGACGATGGTTCCGCCGTGTATTGTCAGTCAAATACCGAAATAAGAAAAAGCTCAGTCATGTCGCTGCTCCATCTCGACACTTCAGTCAACTTTGCCCAAGGTAGCTCACCTGCATTAGCACCGCATGTATAAGCACTCACCTCACCTTGTCCGCATTCGTCCAAGGCAAGGCAAGGCAGGGTTGCATGGTCAAAGACAGGGATGAACTACATCGGTCGACCGAGCATCCCGATAGCTAGGATTGAAGAGAAAAGGCGTCCCAGCCTCGCGTCGAAGAACACCGTGACAGCGCGAGCTTCAGAGACCCAAGAAGAATACGGTCTGCCCATCATTGCTGACAATCAAGAGCGGGAGGGGCTTGCTGCCATTTTGCCGTGGCAAGAGAAACCTCGAGATCCATACACCAACGACGCCTACTGTTTGATAGACTTCCTTGCCTTTCCGGCTACTGCGGCGTGGTTCGTGGGCTCGAAAGGCCTAGGCGCAAATCTGTTGCATGGTCGTGCCCGGTGTTCCCATACGAGGGAGGTCCCGGCGCCTCTGCACCCCAGCGCATCAACCTTACTTTTTGTTTCCGACACAAACTCGACACAAATCTATATAAGCTTGTTCCCGGACTCCTCGTCCGCCTGCGCTGCCAAATAATGGCACCCGCAACGGCTTCTACCCATCGTGACATTGGGCCTGAAGTCGACTTAATACCGAGATCTGAACCCGAAAACGGACCTGATTCCGAAGCAACGGCCTACACCGTCCACAGCCGCTCCATTATGAGTTCCGAAACACGCAAGAAGTTTATCAACTATCCTCTCCCGATCCCGGGGTAAGTTGTTCTGTGCTTTGTAAAGCTGAGTGGTGGAAGTTTGTTGTCTCGTTCATGATGCGCATATCGCCTCCAATAAGCATACTTGGGGTCTTGGGACTTGTCACAACAGATCGGTAACTGACGCAATTAGACCGCCCATTCCATACAAGAATGTCAGGAAGAGCAATCCGCCTCTCAGAGGTTGGCTCTTGGTCATAGCGGCTTGGGCGTAAGTTCTTCGACGCAGCAACTCTTGCTCTTATTCTCCCTCGCAATCACTTACGCACATCAGGATGGAATGTCTATGGTTTATCAGATCGTTCATCTGGAGCAATGCTGGCTTTGGAAGTCTGAGAAAGATACGCAAGCATATTGAAGATGCTGAACCTCGATACGACCCAACCGTCCTGCCACTACCAACGGACGAAGCCAAAGACCCGGCGGTTCTCCACCGTGAAAGCGCAGTCAAGGCGAAACCACACCCCTTGAAATACTACTCCGTGAACGACTATCATGAGATGTACCTTTCAGGTGTAGTCACGCCACTTGCTGTGGCCCGCGCCATTCTCCCCTTGATTCGGCGCGATACGAACCCACCCGGCGAGCACTCCATCGCGTGGTTTGATACCAAAGTCTCACAGGTGTTGGCCGCTGCCGAGGCGTCTACCAAGCGATATAAGGAGGGGCGGTCTCTGGGTCCTTTAGACGGTGTGCCGACGGCAGTCAAAGACGAATATGAAATCGACGGATACCGAACTTGCCTTGGGTCTAGGAACGATTATACGACCCCAGCGGCGCCGGGCCAGTCAATTACCAGCTGGTGTGTTAAGAAGCTGGAAGATGCCGGCGCTGTCGTGCTCGGAAAGCTGTCGATGCACGAATTTGGACTTGGTGAGCCTCTAGTTTCCAAACGCCTGGGGCCTCTCAAGCTAACCTGGTGTAGATACGACTGGAAACAATCCCATCTACGGAACACCGCGAAACCCCTACAACCGTAGCTATTACACCGGTGGGAGCTCATCGGGAGCTGGTTATGCAGTTGCGACTGGTCTAGTTCCCGTGGCCCTCGGTAGCGACGGCGGCGGCAGCATTCGCATTCCCTCTTCCATGTGCGGCGTCTACGGTCTGAAGCCAACCCACGGCCGCATCTCTTTTCACCCATGCCCAAATCACAGCAACAGCTGCGCTGTCAATGGCCCCATAGCCGCTGATATCGAGTCTCTGGCGACCTACTTTGAGACCATCGGCGCGCCGCACCCCGACTCTCAGTTCATCCAGGCATCTCCCTTTATCCTGTCACCCAGCGAGAAGCGCGGAAAGGTTCTTGGTATCCCCGAGGCGTGGTTTGCACAGGCAGACCCGGCTATCCAGCGCATGTGCCGTACCATGATCTCGAAGCTTGTCACTCACCACGGCTACGTCACCGTCCCCATCGACATTCCCTTCCTCGTCGAGGGCCAATTCGCCCACGCCATGACAGTCCTCACCGACGGCGCGACACTCCTGCCGGAAACCAAGAACCTGACGCCCGCGAACCGCATCCTCCTCGCCATCGGGCGCGTCACCTCCGCCATGGACTACCTCCTCGCACAGAAACTCCGCGGCCTCCTCATGCAGCACCTGGCCCACCTCTGGCGCATGTACCCGGGCATGATCATCGTCACGCCCACGACCTCGTGCGCGGGATGGCCCATCATGCACGAGGGCGAGCTCACCCACGGCGTGAGCGACGGCGATCGCACCATCAGGTCGATGGAGTACGTCTGGATGGGTAACTTTTGCGGGCTCCCCGGCGTCACGGTGCCAGCGGGCTACGTGGTGCCGCACGACCAGCTCGGCGCCGGTGGCGAGGCCGGGCCCGACACCGTCGGCAAGGTGCCCATCGGGCTCATGGGCATGGGCGAGTGGACGGACGAGCATAGCCTGCTCGAATTCGGGCTCGACGCCGAGGAGCTGTTTGCGAAGGAGAGGTGCAGGCCGCCCAACTGGATCGACGTCATTCAGCGGGCCAAGGACGACATGGCTAAGAATGGGGAGGACAGCTTGATAGACCTTTAGAGTATGATATCCCCACAGACAACGCGCGAGAGCAATGCAAATCGATCGAGACTACCCTACCAATTCAAAATCAAGGACGTGGCTTTGCGCATGACGAACTAGCTTACTGAAAGCACCACAGGTTCTCATCTACACTTGGAGAAGGAGGCTGAGCTGAGCTGAGCTGAGCTGAGCTCAAAAAATCCGGGTCCTGCTTCGTTGTCAAACGACGTTCAAGCATTTGAAGCAGGGGTACCCCGTCCCGCATACCCGGCATTTACAAAGGCATTTTGGTGATCCTTTTCCGTTGGCAGCACCCACTTCCTTGCGTAGATCAATGCGTTCATCGTCATATCACGAAGCTCGGTGGAGAGAAGAGAGGGGAAAGGACCCGAGCTAGCGGGACGACAGCAGGTGACTGCCAACGTTGACGAAATCCAAGACAGATCGAGGCAGGTCTATTGTAAATGGACGAGAAGTGACGACTTTTTTTTTTTGTGCATATTCGCAGAGGAACCTCGAGGGCGGTACCAAAAAAGGGAAGAAGCATTTTCGAACCTGATGAAGGCGCGGGCCGCATGACAATCCCAACCTAAGCTTTTTTGTTCCTCTCGGAAGGGGAAGCTGTTGCTTGCACCGCCCCTTGTGCCAAGATGATCGAACGCCGGTCTAGACCGCTCCAACTGTAGTTGCAGGTTAGATTGTTCGCATCTTTGGTGTTGTTTGTATTGAACTTTCGAGACGGACGTTCATGCTCGACAGGGCACGGGCAGTGGGAGATATGAGAGTGGTATGCGAGAAGAACAGATGCATATGCGGCCGGCTTTTGGGTGGTGTCAGTGCGATGACACGAGAGCTTGATATGCAAAGGTTGCGGGCGGTGTGTATGGGGCTTTCACCTCTATGGTCTTGGCTCTTGATTATCTCACTTGGCTCGTTATGTTTGAAAGTGTGTTTATGATGGTGTATTCCGTAGAGAAGAAGGAGCGTGTCCTCATGTAGTCGCTATCTAGCTAACCTGTGTATTACACGGTGACCTTCACGGCCAGGCTCCTCGAGGCTCCGAGGATTCGTCAAGTTTCAGTCAATGATTGTTGGCACGTGATCCAGATATTCTATCTTTGAGGAACTACTGTGAGATACGATAGTTTTTTTTGGATGAGAAGCGTGTTGGTGAGTTCGTCTCAGTGATGGCAGCTCTCAGCCCCTTCGAGCGGTAGGTATTTGAGATGTAGCTGACCGTGGTAAAAAGCTGTCGATCAGTCTTATCTACCTCGGGCTTGGTGCGCTTTATTTTCTACCCAGTCACTCCGGTTCCAATCTCCTCTTTGACATCGAAAGTGACTGAACGGAAACCAATCTATAAAGAGCTGATGAGCCTTGTCCTCGCGTCACTTGTGAGACCATATTCATTCTCTTTGGCCCCTACCTCAGGCAGAAGATCTTGACCGTCCTTTGGGCATCAAACTCACACGTCACCAAGGTGCTTGGTCTATACAGACCCAAATACTCCCACGGCACCCATAGGCCGTATACAAAAGCCACGATGTCGCCCATCCCACCCCTTCAGCCTTTCAACTCCTCACTCCACGTGACCAAGCGAAACTTACTACACCACCACAGCATCCTGCCCGGTTCCTGCCTTGACTTCTTCTATCCAGTCCATTGAGAATCTCTCATCCGCCACCAGTCACACATTTGGTCTGGTGGTTTGGAGAAATCCTAAGAAATACCTCGATGGTGGGGGGCGCAGGTTCAAAGCGGGCCTCTCAACCACATTACCATTTTTTCGCCCTTTCTCTTAGTGCTTGATTGCGATTAAAATCGATCCATCTTACTTAGAAGTAGATTCAGGCTCTTGGTCATTTAACCGCTGCCATCTCTACTAAGCTTTAAAGTAGCAAGAGGCTTTGAGAGTAGTCTTTCTCCCATTCGAAGTACCTCCCTTTCCATATAGACTTCCATCATGTTAGAGGAGCTCTTCTACTACAGTCTGAAACTCTTCTAGATTGTCTTGATGAGCTTGTCTGCTTAAGGTATATAGCCTTCATGTCAACTGGAATATAACGGATCCCCTTTAACACATATATCTACTAACGCAGAGAAGGCAGGATGAGATGCTCATTGACGTACTGCAGTAATCTACGCTCAAGTATGACACACTCAATAACAAATCTTTGGCCGCTCTATTTCGACATTATCTTCACAAATGGTCTCATGGTCCTCATCCCCTATCTGAGGTGAGAGCTCCCAAAGAGGCTTTGAACCAAACGCAATTGAGAATCACGACCTCAAAAGTGAGTGATTGACGACTAAGAAGGGGAACGTCTACTAGGACCGTCTCAGCCTTAAACTCCAAGGGACCCCACCCTGGTCTGAATGCAACGCCAGTTGGCTCTTAGCCGCACGCGATCTGCTCTAGACCTCAGACCATGTAAGCACAGCTCTGACGTAGGCACCCGGGAGTGCTAGGTAAGGTACTAAGGTAATCATGATCTCACGGCATCTTCAGCACTGATGCAGGTTCTAGCGCCGAGCGAGCTGCAAAGTGCACATTTCAGCGCGTCAGAAAACGAAGTAGCTCAGACAAAGTGTCACAAGCAAGACAAAGGTACGAGCAGACCAGACATCAGCTGCAGGGCCGTTGAAATTTCATTCCCGGGCCACGGCGGGGGTGCTACGGCATACGACGATGTTAAGTCGGAATCGCATTGCTCGTCCCCGAGGTTGACCGCAGCCGAAGCCGGGCTTCTCGGACGGACATACGGAAGCCTTTCCCCAGGAAACCATTACCGATAGGTTGCGATGGGAAAAGGTGCCTTTTTGCGGGAACTGAGAGCACGAGTTGTTGAATACCCCCCCCCCCCCCCCCCCCTTCCCCTCCTCCATCATGAGGTCTGCGACGTTTCCCAACAAAATGCAGGAGAGCCAACCGGTTGAGGTGAGGGGTCAGGTCGCCTTGGAGGTACGGCAGAGAGATAATTAGCTGCCCTGGCCTGTTTACTCCAAATTCGCCTCTCTTGACGTAAGATGGCGTCCCAGCTTCTAGTTTTCTTCATCCTGCCAGGTCTTGTGCCACTGTACGCCCTGAGCTTTCTTTAGTAGTCGGTTGTCTGCAGCTCAGCTACCCCCCGCATTCTGGCGCCGAATAGGTTAAACAACCTAACGATCTAATCTTTGCAGGATACCAGAGATCCCCCCATCGCACTACGGCTAGGGAATCGTACGTTGATACAAGTGGGTAGACGCTTCCTATTCCCTTGGCCGGTTGCAGAGCAGCAGAGCGTATAGCAAAGAACTAAGAAGAAAGAAAGGAGAAGTCGAAAGTGGAATATCGCACCGAAAGGGAAAAAAGAAGAGGGGCGTCTGGGGACAACCTAAGACTGGATGATATCGCGGGCTTGGCCGACGTAGTGGGGAACCACCCCCGGCCTCCACAGGCGCATACCACTCCCATTCCCCTGCTGCCCTGCTCTCTCTCTTTCGCCCGGGCTCTCCAGAAATACATCCCTCCCAATTTTTGGTCACCTCACATCTCGCAGTCATTGTCAGCGGCTTTCTTCTCTCACACTGCTGTCGCCAGTCGCACCACCACCACCAGAGCAGGCGCGCCTTACCAATTGCCTCCAAGCACAATTCTACTCTGTCGTTCGCTTCCTCCCATCACCAAACCCATCTGGCAGCTCGTGAATGCCAGCGCACGAAACCGAAGCTCGCTCCGCCCAAGGTAGAGCCCTCTTATCGCTACTGCCGCCCTGCTGCACCCGAAGGTTCCACACCACACACCACCACCGAGGATGAAAGTCTAAGGGAGTGGCGCAATAGTTGGCGAGATTTTCACCAAGAGACCTTTCTCACCTCACTCCATTCCGAAAACACTTCGTCCTACTCTGATATCGCATATCGACTTCTCGCCGCCATGCCAGACCACGCTGGAACGGCCGTCGCCGCGCCGCCCCAGAGCGGCTCCAACCCGACCCCTCCCAAGGAGCTATACCCCATGGTCAACTGGAAGTATGACCTCTTCCTCTGGGTCTTGGGCGTGCTGGTCGACCTCTTCTTCCGCGAGGTTCACCCTCGTGGCTCCTGGAAAGTCCCCAAGTCGGGTCCTGTTCTCTTCGTCGCCGCTCCTCACGCCAACCAGGTCAGTTTTCTCTCTTTTTTTCCCCTTCTTCACCCCCCCTTGTCGAAGCAAAGCCCCCCTGTCATTGTCACATGCTAACGCCTGCAATCTCTGCACACAGTTCGTCGATGCTCTCATCCTCCAGCGCACCCTCCGACACGAGGCCGGTCGTCGAGTCTCCCTCCTCATTGCGCAAAAGTCTGTCCATGGCTTCATCGGCTGGGGTTCGCGTCAGGTCGGCTCCGTCCCCGTCGGACGCGCCCAGGACGCTGCCAAGCCCGGCGCCGGCGTCATCTATCTGCCCGACCCCATCAACGATCCTACACTCATCCGCGGCGTTGGCACCAAGTTTGGCCAAGGAGAGGGCGAGGTACACGGCATGCTGTTCTTGCCCTCTGCCAAGAAGCAGACCGGCGCCAGCATCGACATTGCACAGATTATCGGACCCGAGGAAATTCGCATAAAGCGCCCGTTCAAGGGCAAGCTGTCGCTTGAGCAGCTTACCGGACGCGATGATATTGACGAGAATGGCAACTTCACCAACAAGGACCTCAAGGGATGCAGTCCCGGCTTCAAGGGAACCAAGTACAAGCTCGCCCCGCACATTGATCAGACCAAGGTGTACGAGGCCGTCTTTGACCGTCTGAGGTCAGGTGGCTGCGTAGGCATCTTCCCCGAGGGAGGTAGCCATGACCGCACTGAGCTGCTTCCCCTGAAGGCTGGTGTTGCCATTATGGCACTTGGCGCCCTTGCCGAATCCCCCGACTGTGGTCTGACGATTGTGCCCGTTGGCATGAACTATTTCCACGCCCACAAGTTCCGCAGTCGCGCCGTCGTCGAGTTCGGTCCTCCTTTCGAAGTTCCCCGGCACTTGGTCGAGATGTACAAGAACAACCAGAGACGCGAGGCCATCGGCCAGCTCCTCGACAGCGTATACCAGGCTTTGAGCGCCGTCACCGTCTCTACCCCCGACTACGATACCCTGATGATGCTTCAAGCTGCTCGACGTCTGTATAACCCCACCGGAAAGAAGCTGCCTCTGCCTGTCGTCATTGAACTAAACCGCAGACTCGCCATGGGCTACGAAAAGTACAAGGATGACGCCCGGGTCGTCCATGTGATTAAGTCTGTCAAGCAATACAACAAGGAGCTACGCTACGTCAACCTGCGCGACCACCAGGTCCAGTACGGCAAGATGTCCATCCCCAAGGTCATCTTCCTGTTGTTCTACCGCGTTGCCAAGCTCCTTGTTCTGCTTATCGGCGTACTGCCCGGTCTTATTCTCTTCGCCCCTGTTTTTGCCGCATCCAAGGCCATTAGCGTTCGTAAGGCGAAGCAAGCTTTGGCTGGCTCGACGGTAAAGGTTCAGGGACGCGACGTTATGGCTACATGGAAACTTTTGGTCGCCATCTTCCTCGCCCCGACTCTATACCACTTTTACTCGGCCATTGTCACCTACAAGGTCTGGCAGGATCATCTCTGGGGTCGCGTTCCTGGATGGGTGCCGTGGTGGACGACATACTTGGTCATGTGGCCCCTCATGGTGGGCATTACATTTGCTGCGCTGCGATTTGGCGAAGTCGGCATGGACATCTTCAAGTCTCTGAGGCCTTTGGTCCTCTGTCTGAACCCCGCCTCAAGCTACAACATCCAGCAGCTGCGTGCGAAGCGCGTTGACCTTAGCTCCCAAGTGACAGATCTCATCAACACGCTTGGACCCGAGATGTTCCCCGACTTCGAGAAGACCCGTCTAGTGGCAGACCCGTACAAGGCCGACGGATACTCCCGACCGCGCACACCGCCGGCGCGCCGTGATAGTGACGCATCCAGCGCCTACGATGCCGCGACGCCGCCGTCCATCTCTAGAAGACAAACCCAGCAGTCGAGCCGCGCGATGCCCCGCAACGAATCGTACAGCAACATTGGCGGCGTCGGCATCTTCTCCACGCGGCCACCTTCCCGGTCTCGGAGTCGGAGCAGCAGCAGCGGAGGCGGACTCGGGTCGGGCGGGTTCCACATCAGCGGGTTCACGACTCTGGACTCTGCGGGTGGGTTTGACGAGGCTAGCAAAAAGATTCGCGAGGCGATGAAGCTTCGTCGGAGAAAGAGCGGGGATCACAAGATGGAGCTGGGCGCGGACGAGAGCGAGGATGAGGAGTACAACGAGGCGCGCAAGAAGAACACATGATGTCACAAGAACAGAGAACAGACGCACTAAGCTCTGAAAGAGAAAGAGAAAGCGAGATGTTGAAGTTGTGGAGACGGGGGGGTTGGGCGCAAGGTGATTCCAATCAAAGGGTACCGTACGGTACGTATAGACAGCGTTTTAATAGTTTCAATATGGATTCCCATTTTTTGTGTCTTTGCGAATCAGCGGCGGCCCAATGTCTGCGTCTTACCTCACAGAGTGCTCTGTACGGAGAACCTAAGAGTATACGGATGCGGATGCTTCGTCTGAATGTTGGAGTGGATTCGCGGGACTGGGGCAAATGCGCAGCCAATGACGGCGATTACAATGTTGACCGCCGCATCTCTTATCTCCGTCCGGCCGGTACGGATCAAGGTACCTTGCTGGGAGGTGTGGGAGGCCGCAGGATCTGATAACTCAAAAGGTCCCCCTTCCCCTCCCTTTCCCCCCTCCACGGTGACGCTAGGTAAGGTATTCGAGACAAGAATTCGCACGCGTGGCTTTTTGTCGAACCGGCTATTCCGTGCCGCTGCCGGCCGGAGTTCTCAGGACGTACTGCGTATTGTCCGCGGACCTGTGCCTTTGGCGAGGCCGAGCGAGGGGGGAATCTCGGTGATACGAGCACTCGTTGGGGAAGGCAAGCAAATCACTGCGTCCCTTTTGTAGGGTTACAATTTTGTACATTAATAAGGACGCGCGCGGGACCACGGCGGAGACTGGGGATATAACTCCAGCAAAGGGCGGGTGCCTTGTTGGTCAGCTTTGGCATTTTGGTCTTTAACGAGAGACTGTATTGGTTCAGTTGTCGGCCCACGGAGCTTGCGGCGCGCCGGTTGAGTGTTGCCGTCCTGAATCCCACCTTTTCTCCCCTCAAACAGTACATTCCCGATTCCTGACCACCTCGTCATTGTTTCCCACACCTTTGTTAGGTCCGAGGGAGAAGGAAAAAAAAGGAGCCAAACCCCAAATACCCCACATCCCGCCACCTTTCCGACGGGTGGGCCGAACGACTTTACTCCGTGTATTGCTTTCCTTTCCGAACCGGTCTTCAGCCCTTTAGTTGTAGACCTTGCCCCTCTACTCCATACAACTTCCACCCCTCCAAAGCTACAATCCTCCTCGTTTCCTTTCTTTCTACTACGGTGTAGGGGAGTCGCATTCCTATTTCCATTCCTTTTCCACGATCGCTTCTCAATTTGTTTTTAGAGGAGCACCGAACAAGAAGGCAACCATGACGTCCGCATTCAAGTCCTTCGTCACGGGCGCCAAAAAGTTCGCCCTGGGCACCGCCCACGGCGTATCGGCCCTCGACCTCTTCCCCAAGACGGACCCGGCCGTCGACGGCGAGGACTGCGAGCACGACTGCGAGAGCTGCCACGTCAAGTACCCCAAGGGCTTCAAGATTGACGAGGGCGACGAGCTATATGGCATGGTCAAGGGGTGGAGCACGCACGCGCTCGTGGCGACGGGGAAGAGCGATTGGGTGAGGGACGTTGCGGACGAGAAGGGGAGCGTGATGGAGGCTATCGGGAGGGCTGCGGCGCCGAGTAATGGGGTAAGTAGCTCTGAGCTCTGAGAAGAAGACGATGATGAGGGAAGGGAATAGGTTTCGCTAATGAAGGTGCGACAAAACAGAAACTCATGCTCTCGGCCTCCAACATCCCGACACCGAACCACTCGAGCGATTATACCGAACCCACGACCGTCCTCCTCCTCCCGGCTTTCGTCATCATCGACCACGTCACCCCGAAAAGCGTGCCGGAGCTCATTACCGAGTTCGTAGACAAGGCGCCGACGAACACCTCCCCGCTCGCGCCGCTCGCCCTCCCGACCTCCGTCCCCGTAGCATCGACAAACGGCAACGGCACCGACGCGAGCGCGGCCGCGCCGAGCACACCCCCCGAGATCTCCCGCCGCCCGTGCCCGCACGGCGCGCTGATCCTCCTCTGCTCGCAAAAGACGCGCGACGCCCGCTGCGGACAGTCCGCGCCGCTGCTGCGCAAGGAGCTGGAGCGCCACCTCCGGCCCCTGGGGCTCTTCCGCGACATGGACGACGAGAGGCCCGGCGGGGTGGGGATCTACTTTATCTCGCACGTCGGCGGGCACAAGTACAGCGCCAACGTGATGGTGTACCGCCGGCCCGACGCCTTTGGGCTGGACGAGGCGGAGCGCGTCAGGGAGGGAGGGGAGTTGGTGCCCGAGGCGAGGACGGCGGCCGCGCTGCCGGAGACGGAGGATGTGGGTGCTGCGCAGTGCATTTGGCTTGCGCGGATCAAGCCTGAGGATTGTGAGAATTTGGTAAAGTATACGGTTTTGCAGGGCAAGGTTGTGAAGCCTGAGACGCAGTTGAGGGGTGGATTTGATAGGGCCAAGGGGATAATGAGTTGGTGAAGTATTGTAGTCCTGCGTTTTTTTCTTTTTGCTCTTCTCAGAGACGGCTTTGGGCGCATCCGCGGGGGATTCATGATCAGGGCCATTGGGATACAGGTCTGGGGGGCGTTGGAGGGTACGGCACATAGAGGAAGACCGGACGGTATTTGGTAGACAAGAGCTTTCGATAGACGAGGGTTTGAGCTTTGCAGAATGGGGTGCGAGTGCCAATATACCTACCTATCATGCTTACAACCTTATGAGAGGATTCGAGCTTTGGAGCGCGGAACAGGAGAATGTCTAGATGTAAGCCAGCAGCGTAGACGATGTGGAGGTGGCCAACTCGAAATTACACAACCAAGGTCAATAGTGTCTTCCTCAGACGGTGTTTGAGATCGCACAATTAGATGTGAGCTTTAGTTCAACAAATGAGGTACACCATGGCCGTTGCACAGCAAACCGAGTCTCCGCACAATGACCGAGTCGACCGGAGTAGGGCTCCACTTCTACCGGCCCGCCCCGCACCCTCCAAAAAAACCAGTGACGAGACTGGCAGACCCCCCCCCCCCCCCGAGCTGCAGGCGCGTTAAGGTAGGCTGGGCCGCGATAAGATACGAGGGGAGCAGCGCAACGGGGAACAGACCCGCCCGCCGTGGTCACCCAGACAACAGCGCTAGCGTAAACAATCCCCACGACCGCTCCTTCGTGGGTGCCCAGTACTACCGCCCTTCAGCTCACCGACACGACCATCCCATCCAGTCCCGTCCCAATCCCCCCAATCAATCTTTCTTATTGCACAACGACGACCAGAAACAGAAAAACAATTGCAATCTCGGGACGTAGCCTGGCGTTGAGCCATCTCCCCTCCCCAGCTTTGCATTTGCCGCCCTTTTTTCTTTTTTTTTTTCCGTCGTCACCAAGTCTCCCAAACATGGTGTGAGCAGGAAGAGACACAATTCCGTATAGCTGTCGGGATTCCTCTCGCCTTTATCCAACATCCACCAAGCATTGGAATTACATCACCCGCCCCTCCCGTTATTTTGGCCGTCTCTTCTTCATTCTTCTTCAGAGCAAGCTTCAGTATTCCCGCCCAGCATTCCACACGAAGGAGGGGGGATAGCATTGTTTTCCCGTCCATCCATACCAGCAACAACCCTGTCTCGAACCGTGTTGTTTCCCGCCCCCATTTTCCCTCTCCTCGACAATGGGCTCCGCCGCCCAAGGAGATAACAATGGAGGAGGCCGCCCCAGGTCTTCGGTCCTCAAGAGCTTCATCCACCGCCGTAACCAGTCCGAGGGCTCTGCGCTCTTCACCTCGCCGCCCTCCGTCCAGGTCACCACCACGCCCGCCCAACACATCTCGGCCGCCTACGCACAGCTCGAGGGCAGGATGCCGCCTCCTCCTCCCATCCGCACCGAAGGTCTGGGGGCCCTCGGCGAGCTGAACAACCACTCGTCGCCCCGCAAACAACAACCGGTAGCAGACAGCAACCGAGACCGATCGCGCTCGCCGACCATGTCCGCCTTTAGCAACATGTCCTTCAAGTCCTTGGCCAAGGAGGCCCGAAAATCACGCGACGTGTCCCCCGAGAAACCCAAAAAGACGAAATCGAGCACGAACCTGGCCGGCTTCCTGTCTCGACCCCGATCGACCATGTCCCTGAACAAGACTACCAAGGAGGAGGAGGAGCGACGCCAGGCTAAGGACAAGGAGAACCGCACACCCCCGAGCTCGACGTCGAGCGCCGACATGACGGGTGGTCCGGCGCCGCCCATCTACGCACAATTCTGCAGTCAGGACCTCGGGAGCAATGGGCTGCGTGGAAAGGCGTCTTTCGACGCCGGTAGTGGACGTTATGGAAGCGACGCCTCGAGCGACCTGTCCAAGAAGCAGAGACCAAAGTCATACCACCCCTCCACCGCCATCTCCGAGCACAAGTCTACATCGGACCTACGCAGCAGGCCAAAGATGGACGGCCGCGAACCTTCTGCTTCGGAGAGAATCAAAAGCAAGGTCCAACGTCCCAAGCTCTTCACAGCCTTTTCCGCCGCTGGGTCTAGCACGAAGTCCAAGGCCTCGGATTCCGCCGACAGGCCCATCGACCCTAAAGCGATCGACCAGCACCTCGAGGCCATGCTCGATCGGCGCAACATCCCCGAGAACCAGCGCTACAAGATGCGCAGCCTGGCAGATACGATCAAGATGGAGTTCATCCGACAGGACTGGGCGGAAATGGCGGCCAAAGAGCAGGCGGGCGTCGCTGACACCACTGCCGAGCCCACCTCTGCGGCGACTGGAGGCTCCGATAAAGAGGAGACACAATCCAAGCGCTCCCGCGGGAGGAGCTTCACCCTGTCGCGAAAAAAGGACCCCAAGGAGCCCGCGTCCCCGACGAAAAAGTCAAAGGGCGAGAACACCTCCATCGGTCGTCATTTCCGGAGCAAGTCTACCGAGAGTGTGGTGAGCGAGCGGCCCGTTTCGGCGAGCTCGACGGGGAGCAACGGCATTCTTTCTAAGATCAAGTTCGGCCAGGGGCCGGGAGACTACGTTTCGTATCTGCGCAAAGTGCAGAAGCCGGAGTTGGTTGAGGTTGGGAAGCTGCACAAGCTGCGGCTTCTTCTGCGTAACGAGACGGTCTCGTGGACCGAGGACTTTATTAAGCAAGGCGGCATGGAGGAGATTGTCGGCCTCTTGAAACGCATTCTCGCTATTGAGTGGAGGTAAGCTGTGATTTCTTCAAGGGCGGCAAACTGCAAATACTAACGGAACAACAGAGAGGAACACGACGATGCCCTTCTCCACGAAAACTTATTATGCTTAAAGGCTTTGTGCACCACAGCGCTGGCCTTGCAATATCTCCACTCCATTCACGAGGACTTGTTTCCCAAGCTCCTCCATATGCTGTTCGACCCCGAGAAGAAGGGTCCCAGCGAGTTTACTACACGCAACATCATCACGTCAGTGTTATTTACATACATTGAGTCAGCCACGCCCATGGAGCGCATTGCCCGCGCGCAAAAGGTGCTCTCCTTCTTGCGCAACCCCCAGCCCAAGGAAGAGGAGAGGCCGCTCGGCTTCGTGCTGGAGATGCGCAAAGACCGGCCGTACACGGTCTGGAACAAGGAGGTCGTCAGCGTCACCAAGGAGGTCTTTTGGATCTTTCTACACCACCTCAACGTCATTGCCCTGCCGTCCGAGATGTCGACCAAGGGCGGCGCGCCGCTCGGCACAATCACAAACGGCGCGTCTTCTTTCCAAGACCCGCACGCCTTTATGCACCGGCACTTCCCCTCGGAGCGCCCCCCCGTTCCGGCGGCCCCCTACGTCGGCGGCGTGGAGTGGGACGCGACGAACTACCTCGCCTCGCACCTGGACCTCATGAACGCCATCATCGCCTGCACACCGACGGCGGCGCAGCGCAACAACCTGCGCAACGACCTCCGGATTTCCGGGTGGGAGAAGGTGCTGGGCGGCAGTCTGCGGCTGTGCAAAGAAAAGTTTTACGGCTGCGTGCACGAGGCGCTGCGGTGCTGGGTCGCGGCGGCGACGGAGGACGGGTGGGATTCGAGGGACGTGCGGTACGGGCCGCCGCCCGAGTCGCGGAGCGCGAGCCCGAAGAAGACGCAGAAGGCGCAGAAGCCCGTTGACGCGGCGCCCAAGATTGAGATTCCGAAATTGGATTTTGGGCTTGATAATCATCGGGTTACGCCTGTTAAGGAGAGGGACGTTTGGCTCTCGTGAGGGGCGTGAGCATCGTGAGCATCATGAGTATCCATGAGCTTGTGGAAAGATGGAGACTATTGTACATCAAATGCGACGGGAACGGGTCGAAGCAACAGCATGGGGAAAGGTTCCGACGGCACCATCGTTCGACGTGGTCGAGCTCGTTTGGGTCTTTTCTCAGTGTCAGTATCCCGCATACACACATCACACGTTGGAGATTGTCAACGCAGGCGAGGGCTGAAGCAGGAAGAAGACGATGAGAAGAAGGCGGAAGAAGAAGACGAGGAGAGGTTCGCGGACGCTCTGGGGGCGCTGTCTCATTTCCTTGTGGGATTTTTTTTTACTATCATTTTTTCCTTTTCGGGGTTTGGATCTCTGGGAGAGGAGGAGTTGTGTTTTTGTTGTTTTTTTCTCCTTTTCATGTGTGGTTTTCCTTCCTTGCATGGGGATCGGATCACGAGGGGGAGAGCAGAGAGAGGAGAGGGGGAGAGAGAGGGTGAGAGAAGGTGTCCTGGGTATACATGCACATACGCACAAACAGAGTGAGAATGAGAGAGACTAGGGGAGAGAGGTGGGAGGGTGAGAGGGGGGAGACACATCATGCTGCCTAATGCTTCTTATGAAGGGCAACGTTTATGAATTGATGATCATCATACATAGAAAAAGCCGTTATTTTCTTGTGCTGTAGCCTGTCCGTTTGTCTTTTTTTTTTTGTTTCATTAATGAGGGAATGGGGAAAAGAAGGGAATTCAAAGGGCATCGCGTCGAATCGAATGTTTCTGAATATGGCCTTTTGCCTTGTACGCGGTGGACTTTCCCTCCGGGCCTTGACGAGATCTGGACTGTGAGGGAGATCATACGGTGCCGGTATGTTTTTTGACTCGTGCGGTACGCGGCGATATGGCCCTGCGTGCTTTGTTTTACTATAGCGATTTCGAATCCTGAAGAAACGATGTGATGCGGGATTCGTGGGGCAAGTTTGCGCTGTTTGCCGAGGGCAGGCTGGAGCCTGTTTACTCCTACCTTATGTGGTGGTTCTTGTTTCTCCCGGCTTTACAGGCGCAAAAAAGATCGACCTTGAACGGGATCAGGCTTTCCCAGGGAAATCACTCGGCGCGGTACAGCTTCTCAACTATGCGGTACCCCCAAGCACGCTCTCAACTCCAACATGGCGATTTTCGGTACATATCTGTGTATCTGTTTTCAGAATTGGGTTCTATGTGCTCTGGGCATCCGGCAAGTAGGACGTGAGGTAAGGTAAGGTAGGTGATTGACGCCCCCCTCTCATCAGATAGACAGACTACCCTAGGCGGTGCCCTTTTCCCAGGGTCTTGTGAGGTTTCAACAGTTTAGCAGCCATCTTAGGAGCAAGCATCTGCGGCTTGTATCATTTGCGAGTCGTAGTATGATAAGACCCGGGCCTCCCCTCCGTCGATAAAGATTCCAATCCCGTTCTGTGGAAGGGGGAAAAGATGACCTGTTAAACTTGAATTCTGACAGAAGCCTAACCGGGCTTGAACCCTTCATCGGAAGAGATACCGAATTATCCGTGAATGTTCTATACGCACTCCGTCTTCCGTGCGTAGGGCAAAGTCAAGAGTGAATGAGGCAAGAGAGAAGAGGAGGGGGAAACGATAGAGGCCGGGGGCGGTCAGCTTGAGCCGAGGGCACGGATGTCAGACAAAGTCGTCGGGCCTCAAAATGGCAGATAGATTTCTTGGGAGACTCGGAGATGACGGGGGTCAACACATTTGCACAAATTGCCCGACAGCCAGCCCTTTTTCCTTTCCCGCGGGCCGCTGGTCGGTAGAGCAGAGTGCGGTGTCGGTTCATGATTCGTAAAGGGGCGCCAAGGGTCGAGTCCTATAGGAAGAAGTTACGGATTAGTTCTGACAGTGATGGTGGTGGTGGCTCGCTTGAAGGACCCTTGCGGTCGTCAGTATCAGTGCGTTGGAGTCGCAAGGGATTTGTGACGAGAAGATGGGTTATGCATTGCATAGGTAGCTCCCACCCTAATGGACGCCTCCATTCCCCCTAATCCACGTCCTTGGATAACGACATTGTCCCACGAATGAGTACCACCCCACAGTGAGAGGACCCAAGCGTTTGCCGTAAAGTCACGATGTAGGACTGGGTGTCTTCATGTGAGCGAGGCACCTCTGCCGACGCAGCAGATGATTTGCAACCCGCAGAATCTCATCGTCCAGTCGAGCCCGAAAGTTCCCGGCAAGGTATGGTCATAACCTTCCAACTGTATTTAGAGATTGCTCCGGTGCGCCTTAAAGGCATCAAAAACGGATGTACCATTCAGCACGTCCGCCTTGACCTTGTCGTCGGCAGCTGTGAGCTTGGGGAGGAGCTCTAGGACCTTGTCGACTTGATCCCTGGGGATGACGACAACCCCATTCACCGGATCAGCGAAAACGAGATCGCCAGGGTTGACAACCGTGCCATCGACGTTGATAGGTACTTCGACTGCCCAAGGGGTGCTCTCTGCCCCTGCGCCAACCGTGGAGAGTCCCCTTGACCAGACCTAAGAAGGTTCAGCGACCGGTGAGATGATTAGGGGACTTGGAGAAGATTCTAAAGGACCCGGGTGGTTTATTCGACTCACCGGTAGACCCGTACTGGTTAGTTCGTCCAGATCCCTGGCGCGACCTACTACTACGATCGCCTTCGCTTGCCGAACCTTCATCCTCACAGCCATGATTCCTCCGCAGACGGCATTCTTCTGCCCGTCGGGCTGTCTGATGATCACGATGGTACCAGGCTGGGTGATATCAGCCCAGTGTGTGTTTTTGGGAATATTTGCCGCGGGCGAGTCCAACGTTTCGCCCTTCCGAGCGAAGAGTATCGTGGATGCTGGTGCTATGGTGATGGGAGCATCTGCGGGGTTCGGTTGGCCCAGCAGTTGCAGATCAGGCAGGAAGCCAGCCCCGGGTACTTTGAGCTTCACGAGTGCATCTGAAATGTCACAAGCGGTGAAAGTTTGAAGAGCTGCAATTCGTTCGTCGTGCGTGCTGGTCATGGTAGCGTCAAGCGACTAATCGACAGTGGAATGAGTTGTGAGATTTCGGTTCCTTGTACAGAGACAAGTTAGGAGGCGATGTTTCTTGTAGCAATCACGGAACCTCGGTTGTAAGTGATGATGTTGAAGCCAAAGATATTTTGTACGGATGTATCAGACAGTAGCTCGCACCATCTTGGTTACTAGAGGTCAAACATTCGACGCAGCTAGGGCCCGGGTGAAGTTGGATGCTCGGGAGCCGCCGTGGGACAGCCCCTCCAATCACATGCCGTCCCAGATGGAGGAGGGTGGGCTTTGCAGGAATGCACGTTGGAGGCTTGTGCTTGGTGGGGGACCATCATGGAGCATCTGCGCGCAGCATCCGTACGCGGTGCGGCAAGGCATTCTCGGTATGTAGTGTACACTACCGTGTAGGCTGGAACGGCTGCGGTGCCACCTTGGCAGTTGCGCAGAGTCAGACGCTGTGTGGCCTTCTAGATGTTTCCAAGATTGCATTTTTTCTGCAGAGATGTCTGTTGATGCAGCAGCGTTGTAACTTGTTGCTCACAAGAACGAGAAGGCGGAAACAGACCGCGGGCCCAGATTATTGTGAAAGGCGCGATACCGGTCTGGTTGAACAGCCCATCTACCGGGTCCAGGGAACACGGGCGGATTAAGAGCCTATATGGGTGTGGGCAGGAATCCGATAGTGAGACTGGTGGAGTTGAGGTGCAGCAGTCGCAAGTAATGCCTGCCGGAGAATGAAGGGACCTAGAATCGTTGGATTCATTGGCTGACTGTTGCCATTGGCCGGCTATATCTCCGCCTCTCGCTCACACGTCGAACCAGTCTTGTCGCCAGTGTGCGCAGACGGCGGTCGTATCTATCGCTGGTGGTGAGACAGGAGGAGCAGTTATAAGACAGAGACCATCCTGTCGATCGGCAACATGTACACTGTAGGCGAAGTGGTCGATCAGTCACATGATGAGACATGGGCCGGCGGGGAAAGACGATAGAGCGCGTAGGTACGGATACGTATGTAGTCGTAGCGCGATTATTCGTCAAAGTGCTGTTGACAATGGGATTGTGTGTGCGGCGTGGGCTCGCTTCTCATGCAGCTCTTTGGCTGTGCCGCGCGACTTTTGTCGTCCGGAGCTTGGGGACATTGGCGGACAGGGAAGTTTGTTAAGGTAGGCTTCGAGATGGGTCGGTTCCAAGTGTCCGAGATGCGGCCCTGGCCCCCTCGGAGTTCGCATGTTCCTGAAAGAGGGCAGACGATGCGGACAAGCGGTCAGACTCTTGAATTATGGTGGATGCAGACGTGGGCGATGTGCTTCTCTGCGGCCGAAAGGAGAGAAGGATGTTCGTTGCGTCGGGAGGAATACGGTGCCTGTCTGGTGTCGCCATGTCGCCGTGTTGCCCAGCCACGAGTAAGGTCAAGCAGGTACCTCGGGTAGGTAGGAAGATTATGCGTGCGGAGAAGTATTCGAGTATCTTGTTAGTAATTGAGGTAAGTCCGGTGTAAGCAAGGTGAGGTTCGGGGCAATACTGTGTAGTCAATGGTAACTTGTAAGGTAAGGTAGGAAGGGATCTAGACTCGGAAGGAGCCAGCGAGTGCGACAAGACGACGGAATCTCAGGCTCCAATTGGGAAGCAGCGCCTCGCACTCCCAACCAATGGTCAACGTCGCTACTTCAAGTACCTTAGGTACCTCATCTCACACCAAGAGAGCAAGAACGACGATGCTTCCTGTACCTACCTTATCACGACTTCACGTGGCGACAAACGTTACCTGGAAGGTTCCGAGGCATCGTACCTTAGGTAACGAGGAAAAGCATGAAGTCTACCTTATAAAGAGAAGGAGCATCAAGTATTGGAGTATTAACGTGGTATGTTTGGCAGGAGAAGATTACGGGCCGGGGGGGGGGGGGGGGTGCTTTCGATTGCATTCTTGTCATTCGTGTCTTCTACACATCACCATACCACCCATCCATCCACCTTACCTCTCGGGAAACCTACCTACTCTATCATAGTTTCTCAAGATATCCAGAGGCAAACAGGCGAGCATCAAGAAAGTGTGATGCGATCCTGCAGTGGTTGTCACTCTGTTCGACCCGTCTACTTTTCCACCAAACAACAATGCCTATGTGCTAAACGCTGGCCTCTGTCCGTATGCCCCGTATACTTTGCGTCGCCTTCAACAACCTCTCGAATCATTGGCAATGCAACATTGGCCCCAAATCTGGGCTATAGTAGCTATACCCCTCACTCACCGGGGCCAATCGCCGGCCCAAGAGGGAGATACCGAGATGGCGACGACTCCAACGACATGACACGGAGCGCTCGTCACTGGCCATCTATCACCAACGCGCCTGGGGTCTGTCCACCTCGCTATCCGTCCGGCTTCTGTTTGTCAAGCACATGAGTATTCCACGGCCACCACGCCGCCTGACCCCTGGTCTTTTTCTCCTCCTCCTCCAGAAACCCCGCCAGAGATCTCCGTTTATTACCGGGTTCCAAGCAGGACAATGATCAGGGGTACTGAGTATCTTCTGGGTACCGCGCAGGCATGTGGCCGACCACGCTGCACTCGCTACCAGAGTACTCCGTCTTTGACGATGAATGTAAGCCCGCCACTGGCGCTGCTTTTGCAAAGTTGTTCCTGGCTGGGTCTCCCTCTGGCATTAGGTTGGCTGCGCTGTGGGACGTAGGTGGACAAAGCCCAACGACCGCATGCTCGACGGCCCCGATGGCATGGCAAGTCCCGGGCCGCTGAAGATCATGGATGGTACTGGTCTTGACGGGGAACGGGAACGGGACAACACTGGATGGTTTCCACAAAGTCTCCCTCCCGAGTCCCAAGGTCTCAATTCAAGCTCCCCATTCTAACCATCCCCGTTTCTCTGCTTCAACGGCGTATGTCTGCGGCACGAGCTGATAGCTAGCAGCCATTTCGAGTCATTCCGCTTGACTCGGGGGGAGACACCTTCTTTTCTTTTTCTAAAACATGCAAAACAACTGACATCTGTTCGTCTGGTCTTTGCGTGAGACATATGCCGCGCCGCGCGTTGCGTCGGCTTGGGCCTTGGGGTGTCCGCGGTGGAAGAATTCAGGGTTCACAATGTCCCTCATGACTGATACCGACAGTCTAGAGCTAGGCATGCCACAACCACGACCACAACCAAAGTCGTACAGGCAGACAGGGCGATTAGGTACGAATGAGGTCGTTCTCGGACTCGTCGGAGTCATCTTCAGGCACCAAGACACGGGCGTGCCCTGCTGGGATTCATAATCATGGTTCACTGCCTTTCTGGGAAACCCGAACAGTCGAGCTGGAGACGGTGACCTTGGCATCATGGCTCGAGGGATTGTCGTTGCCGTCACAAGGTGAAAGTCGCTCACCGAGCCAATCTAGACGGGAGAGCTTCATAGAGGCTTTGTTTCAAGACGAGGGTTCCTGGCTCGAGTTGGGTGCAAAAGGATCGGCGCGTCCATCCCGAGATCCCTGGCCTGCACTCTTCCTGGCAATCTGGTCCCAGACCTGGTCATCCGTCCCTCTTGGAGAGAGATCTCCAAGGTCAATGACTGCTACTTGTTACTCTATTCGCGCCTACACTAGGTATCACCGGTAGCAGCCCGGCGGCGCAACGCAGGGCAGACGGGAATGCCAGCAGCAGATGCCAGAAGCCGCAGCCGCTTGGTATCTCGGTCGACCGTCGACCTTGCCCTTGGGTGTCGCCCGTCGGCCGGTCCTTAGTCAAGACTTACCACAACATGGCTCCCTAGGCAGAGGTAGGGGGCAACTTGGACACCATTCCCACTTTTGCGCCGGCTGGCAGGTAAACCTCGGACGGATCAGATCAAGTACAGACCCCAGGGTCAGTCGATTGGGCCAACTGCAGGACGACGTCGCTTCAAGCTCCGCAATCTCACAAATTTGCATTGAGCAGACGGGTCCCAGGCCTGCTGCTACTGCGAGTCTGCGTGATCCAATGCGCCTGCTACTGCGCGGCGCACAGAGTCCCCCCCCCCATTATCCATGCCTGCAGTGTGGTCGTAAAGGACCGACCCAGCCAACCCTGGCCAAGCGCTGAGCTCATTCGTCCAGAGTCTTGTTCTGGGCTGCAGCAGTTCTGACCCAGAGGGCCCATGTCGCTGGCATCGCATCCACACCTGCAGCGTATGTACAAACCTCTCGACGACTGGTGGATGAGTACTTTACCTAGACCGAAGGAGGAAGAAGAGGAGAAGGAGGAGAATCAAGGGCAGGAAGAACGATTCATACGAGTACGGATAGGTACTCCAGTCGAGACTCCATCGTTCTTCACGCAGGAGCAGTGATGAGCGGAAGCAAGCAAGCAAGCAGGAAAGAAAGAAGCAAGCTGTGCACTGTGTACCTGGCACGCCAAGGCAAGGTAGCCATAGTTCTCTCCTGCGTGGATGTCAGAAGCAAACAAATGGAACCCACCAGCAGCGAGTAGTGAGCAGCAGATCAAACAAGACACGGCGAATCGACGGACGTTGGACGACTTGCGTGAGCTAGCAGCAGAAAGGGAGTTGGGGACACAGAGAGAAGAGTTCAGGGAACCCGCAAAGACGCAGGACGCAACTTAACGGCCTAAGGTCAGTTGGAGACTTTTTGGAGACACCTGGAGGGGGGCCTGGATCCAATCGATACTCGCACACTCTCACTCTCACTCTCACACACACACACACTTGAGTATTGGGCCTATTGGCACTCTCACCTATGTGGACACACATTCATCCAGTTGCGCGGCGCGCCGATGTCTCTCATTGGGTCCCCCGCTCCCCCCAAGCCGAAGAAGAAGAACAAGAAGAAGCACGTACGAATAGCGACGGCTACCTTAGTGGCTAAAGTACCTTTTGCGTACGGAGAGCCGGGAGAGGTACGGAAGTACTTGGGCTTTCTTCACCTCACCTTGTCTCATCGACCACCTTATCCGCATTACACTACCTACGTGACTGGCAACCTACCTTACTCCCTTCACTACACACCCATC